CCTTTAATATTATTAATATTATATAATTTACTATTCTTTAATTAAAAATTAATTTAATAATATATATAAACTTATTAAAAATAAATATACTATAAATAATTAACTAATACTAATATTAAAATAAAGCTTAATATTCTTATTATTAATAATACTTTATATCTTAATATATAAATATATAAAACTACTTATAGTAATAATATTTATTACCCTTAAGGATATCTTTATAAGAATATTTTTAAATAAAAGTAGATAGATTTTATATAGCTTTAATAAAGTTAATATTATTAAGAATAAACTTTAATTTTAAATAAATATTATGTTTATTTAAATAGTAAAAAGGTATTATTAACAGAAAAGTAGCTTTATAATTATTATAAATAGATTTAAAGCTTTTAATATTTAAAATTTATAATAATTATTTATTAATAAAATATTATTTATAAAGCTATTATTAATATTAGAATTAAATAATTTAAATTTATACTTACTATTAAAATTAAAATATATTATATAAATATAGTTAGAATTAAAGTTTTATATTAGTATAATATTATTAGCTTTATTATAATTATATTATTCAGTATTATAGGACTTATTTTTATTATTTAAATACTTATTATAATAATTAACCTTATTATAGTTATTAATATAAGACTTTTAATAATTATTATATTAATTAGAATAATAATTATTATATTAATTAGAATAATAATTATTATATTAATTATTATAATAATTATTATAATAATTTATATTATAATATTTATAATTATTATATTAGTATAATTTAGATAAGGGGTTAGTAAAGTTATTAAGGTTATAAATATCTTTAATAAAAGTTAATAAAGTATTATAATACTTATTAATATATTTTATATAGCTTAATAATAACTTAAACTTATTAAATAATTTAATATTCTATTAAAATATAATAAATATTAAATTTTAAATTTAATAAAGTATTTTATTTTAATTATTATTATTAAAATAAATAAGTTTTATTACTTAAACTTAATAAATCTTTTAAAAGTAGTTATTTAAAGCCTTATAGTTTTTATAAAGTAGCTTTAAGGAGATATAAGTAGAGTTATATATATTTATAATAATAGATTACTTAATAAAAATTATTTTTTTAAAGTATTAATAATAAACTTTATTTTACTATTAAGAAGAGCTTAATAATTCTTATATATTAACTTAATATATTAATAATAAAGGTAAGATTTTTAAACGTTTAAGTAATAATAAAAGTATTTTCTATTAATAATTAAGTAGTATATAGTAGTTATTAAGAAGATTTAATATATATTTTTAAAATAGTTAATATTTATATAAATAGTATTTTTATTTAAAAATAAAGTTAAGACCTTTAATATCCTTATATAAAGAGTTAAAGATATTAATTTATTTATAAAGCTTAAGTTTATTATAAATATTATTATAAAATAGAGAGTTAATAAAAGAGTAGTTAGAAATATTAGAATATATTAACTTTATTTTAAATTAAAGGTATTAAAAATTATATATATAATTAGATTAATTAATTACCTTAATAGTCTCTTAATTATAAGAAGGTTAAGTATATTATAAAGAATATTTATATAAAGACTAATATAGAGGGAAGTTTAGTAAGGTTAAACTATAAAGTGAGCTATATAGTTAACTATAAGGTGGGTTAAGTAGAGGTACTTTATAGGGTACTTTAAGTATAGATTAGTATAGGGGGTATTTAAAGAGTAGGTAACTATAAGGTAGATATTAAGGTATAGGTAGTATATTTAACTATTATTTATAAGATAGTAATAAGTAAGGTATTTATAGTTACTTATAAAATAGTAATTAATAAGTTATTTATAGCTATTTAATAAAAGAGAGTGACTTTTTAAAAAGATTGGATATTTTTAATAATAGTTAAGTATATTTATAATAAAAGTAATTTAAATAATTTAACTTAATTAAAGGGGTAAAATAGTAATATATATATTATTATTTATCTTTTTAATACTTTCTATATAGTTTAATAAGAAAGTAGTAAGTTATTATAATAATATATTAAATACTTTATTAAATATCTAGTAGGATAATTAAATTAAATATTTTAAAATAAATATAAAGTAAATAATAGATTAATTTTAAATTAAGAATTAAATATATTTTATTTTAAAAGCTTACTATAATTAAAATAGTATAACTATAAGTATTAAATAAATAACTATATTATTATACCTTAAGTTAAACTTTAAATTATAGTTTTTATTTTTTATAAGATATTATTTATATTATATAACTATATTTTAATAACTTTAATTTTTTATTTTAAATATATTAATCCTTTACTAAATATATATATTTATATATATAATTAATATTTAAAGGAAAATCTTTAAAGATTTAATTATTTTTTTAAAAATTTATATCTTCCTTTAAGGTTTTATATTACTTTTATTCTTTATATCTTAATATATTATACCCCTTCTTAAATAGCTTAATTTAATAAATACTTTATTATTATTTAAAAGGTTAATAGATTATAAAATATATTATAAAGGATTTATTTATAATAGATAAAAGAAATAAAGATTAAATTTAAAATTATAATATTTAAAAGTATTTAGAATAGAAAAGACTATTCTAAAGGGTTTTATATTAAAGTTTAAAGAACTTTATTAAATAATAATATTATTAATAATAAAGGTAATTAAATTATAAAAGGTAAAAATAATTATATTAATTTTAATTAAAGTTATTACTTTATTAAAAGGTACCTAATATTTAATCTATTATACTATTTATAATTAAATAGAGATATAAATTAACTTTTAAAAATAAAATATAATAAAAATAAAATAAATATAAGAAAAAAGATATAAAAGTTATTAAATTTACTTATATATATAGAATTATAATATCTATAATATTTATTATTAAGATACTAACTTCCTCTAATTTTAAAATTTAAAATATAATAATAAAGTAAAGTATATAATATAAATTATATAATTAATTATTAACTTTATTAATAATTACTTTATAAAAGAGAAGTATACTTAACTTTATAATTATAAATATATTACTTATAAGAAAGTAGTTATTATTATTTAATATTAATATTAATAAATTATTAACTTTATTTAATAATATTAATTATTAAATAAAGTAGATATTAATAAGGTATTAACTTTATTTAATAATATTATTAATAGCTTTATTAACTTTAAATAGCTAAAAGTAAGTAATTAATATATTAACTTCTATTAATTACTTAAATATAAAAATAAATAAAAATAAAGAACTTTAATATTTTTATAATATATAAAATTATAACTATTAATTATAATATATAAGTTAAAATATAACTATATTATATTTATATATAATATAGAAGAAAGGTTTAGTAGTTAAAAGGTTTACCTATAGTTTTTAAGGTAAGCTTAAAGATATAACCTATATACCTATTAGCTAGTATTAGCTAGCAGCTAGCTGGCTACCTCCCTGTACCCTATCTATCTATCTATGTGCAGGCGTGGCTGCACCCTATCGTGCCTGCCACACTAAACACATGCGCAACTGGGCATGGCATATACTTGGGGTCTGAATCTAAGTGATGCATATATAAGCGCCTATGTCGTATGTTTCCTATAGCAATATCTCTAGTGGAACCCTCAAGTCGCAGCTTGTATTGAAACGTTTCTCTTCATCGGAGTTAAGCTCGTTGTAGTCCTGAGGACGTACGCAGGAGACTGTGAGCAGCCAACTTTGCTCGCAAAAGAAGACATAATACCTCCATTGGAGCGAAACATTGAATTCCCTGCATAATCGACACGTAGGTGTTTGACTCACAGTCACACCGACGTGATGATGAAATAGTTCAATCTTTGCAACACGACTTGACTTGCTATGCGCCATATCAAGTCCGTTTCCGGTTACCTGGGGAAGCTCAAACGATACGTACTGTTTCCAGGCCGTCCTAGAAACCCGTTTTCAAATCCGTCTTTCGGAAATCATTCTTCACTAACTCAGCCCAACACTTCATGCTTTCGAGGGCTCCCATATCCATCGGACTGTGAACAGTGTTTATAGGAGGAAAGTAATAGCCACCTGGAAGGGCAATTATCGCCCGCCTTCCTTAAGCCATTGGTGCCAGAAAAGGCCGTCTCAGCTGCCTCGCAGTACGTGTTCAGATTCGAGGAGTCCTTGTGATGTTGTACTCGGTGGCTTCCTGTCAACCTAAGCCCAAGCGAAGAATATCTTGGAATTCATGGTGAGTAGGGATCACGAGACTAGTATTAGGACCTTGGGACTATTTATCTGTTGCTGTCTCGTGATTGCCTAACCTTCTTGACGACGGGTTACCTCGGGTCCCTTGTTATCATACTTGGGACGCCTGGTACCAATGCTTGAGTCTCCGGGCCATCTCGCCTCGATGAGTCCCACCTAGTGAATCGGGGTGTATGTGCTCCGGTGACGCAATTCCAATTCACGTTATGGAAATCATTTCATCAAACGAAGTGGCCATAGTAACTACCTAGTTACTTTTAACGTTCACTATGGAGATCTCAATTCACTTTTAACCTGATATTCACTGACCGAGACTGATGTTTATAAACGATTTCTTCGACCCCCGAAACCTTCGATCGATTCTTTCCTTCTTCTCTTCTTCCATCATCCATCAAACCATTCACAGGTCTGACCCCATATCATCCTCCTGAGGTCTCTGATCCGTACATGGTACCACTCAAGCAAAACACCTTGCGATACTCTCGTCAGTAGTCATCCTGACCCTCGCAAGAACCAAAGCCACGGCGTCTCTCTCGTCCAAGACTTGGTAAGAACTGTCCCCAAAGCCTTGGGGGTACATCAGCAAGATCTCTCGTACCACCGGCGTTGCGAAGTCCCTCGCTAACTTCAAATGTTGAGTTAGTCAAAACAACACAAATCTTTGCCAGAACAACATCTATTTGTCAGACATCCACGACACACGCATACTATCGTCTGTCAAAATGGATGTCATCATGACGGACTCCACCACACCTACTGAGTTCCACTTCTTCCCAAAGCTTTCAGCGGAGCTGCGACGGATGGTCTGGGATGAGGCACTTCCCACCTTAAATCTCCAGCGATTCAACGCCGAGATCGCACGCCAGCCAGCATATCCCCACTCCAACCGACTTGGGCCACTCACCCTCTGCCTGACCCCAAGCGATGACTTCATCCAAGTCACCAAGGGCTACGTCGGCCTTCTCGGCGCCTGCTACGAGTCACGGGAGGCCGCCATGAACAAGATCGAAGCCTACCTGACGATACAGTACATCACACAGAACCAAGACGGCTCCATCTCCATTCGCTTCGCCAAGGTCCCGTACAACCCCGACGGACAGGTCTGCATCAGCGGCCTCGGTCCAGCACTCCACTTCGCCGCTGAAGATGGCCTTGGCGCCCGCGGCACGGCGGTTGGGAACCCCCACAAGGACAAGGCGGACTTCATCGCCTACTCCATCAATTGCGCCACGATTACCGAGGTCAAGCACCTGGCCATCGCACTCGACCCACCGCGGCAGTTCATGGGCCAGCACTGCGACATGTTTGGCTGGGATTTCCACTCCTTCGACAAGTTCGCAAGGAGGATGGCCAGACACAAGCTGGAGACGATGGAGCTGATCGACGACGGCTGGCTGGATGAGAGGCACGAGAACAAGGACCACCCAGTTCCTTTCGAGTGGCAGCACACGCGGGTCCCGATCACGCGCGTGCCCACGGGCAACGTCTGGCCCCCTCCACGTGTTCAGATCTCTTGGTCTCAACTCATCGACGGTTTCCTGGCCAACTCGAAGACCCTCAAGGCTGTGAAGAAGCTCAGGGCTGCTGCGAATGAGCAGTGAACAACGGCCTTGGAAGCTGCGAGAGGCTAGGAAGGATGGCAGGAGGCGTGGGCGAGACAGACGAGGACACTGGCCACTTGGCAAGCATCAAAGGCAGTTTTTTGGCAGGTAAAAGAAGAAAAGTCACATTTGAGGAGGTACAGGTTTTGTGAGAAACACTTCGATGTGAACGGCAAACATGGGGTCGCGACTGTTGGTGCGGGCATCTGGAGGAGAAAGCGCATGCACGAGCGCACATGCACAATGGGGCAACTTCGGATTGGAGATCACAACATTTGAAGGCCGGAGTTCGAGAAGCCACCAATGAGTGGTAGCATCAAAGTCATCTTTGAAGAATAAAACAGAAGCCGTCCAATTGCTGTCCGTTTCAAGGTGAAAACTGCTTCAAGTGAAGGTGAATCTTGCCTGGGTTGACGTTTGCTCATCGCTTGCTCTCCCCATCGACATCTGATCGAGCCAAACACCTTTGGACCCGATACCCTGCAGTCTCAGCTTGCTCAGGTGCTCGCCGGACACGCATGCGAATCGCTTTGGGGCCTTTAGACTCGTCAGCAAAATCTTTACTACGCCAGCACAATGAATAAGATCATTGAAATGGACCACTCCCATATATTGCCGCCGACGCGGCCGTGAGGCAACAGCTTGAGATGCATGTGCGCGCCGTCATGAATGAAGTTTGGAGGCCGGACTCGGTGCGGGCGTTGTATCGATGAGAATCATGGGAAATGAGGACGACGAGTGCGCGTATGATCTACTTGAGTGCCACGGTGGAGTTCGAGGATCACGATGACATCTGCCCTGGAGAGACTTGATGACACTGGAAGGGCAAATCTCGTATTGGAAAAGTAAAAGAGGGTCTGATGATGAGCTGGAGCATCAAGATACAGCGACAACGGATCATTGATGGTGTCCGCGCACTTGACACACGTGGGCAAGTCTTGGAGGATGCCTAGTCTCCAGTCTAGCGGGTTGATTGATTGATTTTCTTTATTGTGTGGTTTCGCTTCTATTCCGTATACGTCCGAGGACATACATGGCGCCTTCATACGGTGGTAAGCACTCAAGACCCAGCGCTTGGAAAGAACACGATGCCGATAACAATAGTTATAATACGATAGGTGCTTGTAGCCTCAGCCTTGCGACGCACAGACAAGGCTAAGGGGCACCGTCTTGACGACGGCGTTGACTAGAATCGTGGACAGAAGTAGCCCACGGTTTCTTTATTGTAATCCACATTTACTCAAGTGCCTTTCTGAGTGTAGCGGTAAGACATCTGCCAAGGTATGCGTCTACATCTTCATGCCTTGAGAGCTAACACCAAGTCTATCAACATCCCGCGTGCCCAGGTGCCGTCCATTCAGCCGTTTGAGGGAGCTCTCAAGATCCTTTCGGCGTCTGCATCCGGTCTGCTGTGACCTCTTGTTCAATCCGGTTATTGTAAATGGAACATGCAATAGAGAATGGGTCGTATGATAGTGGCATTCAGGCCGCCCGAGCCCTTTGGGCCTTCGATAAGCCATCAACTTCAAGGATAGCATCCACAAACGCACCGGGGCTCTCCTGAGGTATGTTCTCCCCTGCGCCCCGCACAATGTGATGTACCCTGGTACCGGTGAAAAGCGGCCCAGCTGCAGACCCGTCCGTCGCCGGGAACGTCGTGCTGAACTCGGGGTCGAGCGTCACCGCCGGGACCGAGATGGCCGGCTGCTCATCAAGCGTGCCCGCGAGCTCGGCATACGCGGGATCACCCGGTGTGGACAAGAGACGATTCCTGTAGAAGTCGATAGTGATGTTGACGAAGTCTGGATTCTGCAGCGCAGGCAGCGCGCGATCGACCTCTGCCTCGCTGAAATTCCACCGCGGCGAGTTCCTGGCCCAGATGGCGCGGGCGTACGCCCTCAGTCGCGTCTCGAGGGCGACGGGTCCATTGGGGTGGAGGAAGAGGTAGAAATACCACCGCGCCGCCTCGGAGTCCGGGTCCTGGGGCACCCACGCCCTGCGCTGGTCCTGGATCAGGTAGCTCCCCACCGTGACCATGCCGTCGCACCGGTCCGGCCAGACGGCGGCGACCACGTTGACAGGGATGGTGCCCCAGTCGAAGCCGGCGAGGATCGCGTGTTGAATCTCGAGGGCGTCCATCAGGGTAAGCAGGTCGTACCCCAAGGCCGCCTGCTCTGCGCTGCGGGGTGTAGATTCGTTGAGGAACTGGGTGCCGCCGTAGCCGCGTAGGTAGGGCACGATCACGCGGTAGCCCTTCTTGACGAGCCGCGGTGCCACCTCTGCGAAGCTGTTGATGTCATATGGGAACCCGTGCACGAGGATCACGGCTTCGGCGTCACGAGGCCCCTCGTCGTAGTACTCGATGCGGAGGAGAGATGCTGTGTCCACGTACTGGAGAGGCTCAAGAGTGGGCAGGGCGCTTTCGTTGTGGCCATATCCGTGTCTCGTGTCGAGCGAGTGACCTGTTCTTTCGACGAGGCCGCAGGCGCTGGTGATGCAAAGCGCAAGGGCGAGGTTGAGCTTGAAAAAGATCATATTTGGGTCGCGTGAGATTCCGTTTGAAGGGTGATACGATCAATACCCAGGACTGCTATGGGGGATCTGTTGCACCAGATGCTCTTTTAATCTTATTCACCCAAGCTGCTGCGGGGAGCCACAAAGTGATTCAGCTCGATAATTCGGGCGCAGCACCTGCTTTGCATATTATTGAATCCCTCAGCCTCATTGGAGATGATTCCAAATCAGATGAAGACAATGAAAGTTCCCTGCTATTTCCCTTAGTGCTTATTATGTGATGCAACTGCAGAAATTCTAGTGAACCAATGCCACCTCTGATTTCAAATACTTTTAGCTGAGCTAGCTAGTTGCCCAGTCTTCTTTCTTTTATTTGTTTCCTTGATGGTTCTAGATGTGAAGAGTCTCGTATTCAGAGTTCTCATCGGTGAGAACGGATCAGCTGTTGCGGGCGAATTACAAAGTAAAAACCCCCCAACACCTTTTGGGGCTGGCGTCCAGGATTTCCATGAAGTGGCCTAATTACGTACATAGGTATTTAGGTAGTAATCACTTCCTCTCCATGTTGCCAAAGAAGCCTGATTCTCAGGCCGTGAATGTGTTTGAAGCTACACAACCACTCATCCAAACTCACCCGGCCCGATCGAAGCCTGCCACTCCTGTTCTGAGATCATGAAATTAGTCTCCGTTTCACCTCCCTTGGTGATGTATACATCAATATATCGCAGATCTGCCCAGATCTGCCGTCATTTTGCGAGTGCACGAGCATTCTTGGGCCTAGGCAACATGTGATGCCACTCGAGCTTGGCTTCTCCGTCACAATGCCAATAATCCTCTTAAGCTCTCTGGGGGGCCAGAAGAAAACCTGAAGCCGCTTCATGTACAGGGAGATTCCACAACAGGCGATATCCCTGCAAAAGTCTCTGAGGACGTACACAGTGGCTGAGTCGTAGCGATATCCAAGGATGAAGGAGTTGGTCAAGGAAGAACGTGTGGCCAGCTCCCGACCGACCCTGGTGAATATTAGATCCCATGTCACTTGAAGACATGACGGTATGCTGCGAATGGGCATGTCCGCGATGCGTCCATCAAGCGGAAGTACAGGCCATGGGGTTGAATAGTCCATGTACCTTGGTTGAAGCCAATTAAAGTAAATAAGGTCCCGCAATTCCTGAGGGAGCATTTCGTGGAACAGCTTCTGAAAATTAGCACTCAGCAATGGTCGTTCCACACGGATGTTGTTATTCCTCAAGTGCTATTTTGAAGCGCGGTGGCCTGGTCTGCAGCAGCACAGGCTTCCGCGCTTTCAGATGTTGACCGTTCCCACGCCAATAAACGTTCGGCATCTGTGCGCAAACAATTCAAATTATGAATCACGAGGGACATTTTTCTATGTTTCTCAGAAGGGTCGTTTGATATTGGTGGGTTTTACCTGCGATTGACCATTCCGAAGGAACAAGGTCCAGCGCTGGATTTGCCTTGAAAATGTCGGATACGGAGCACCAGACAGGGGATCGGTCGCATGAGCTGCACGTGAGACAATGACTATGCCCCTAAGATAATCAGCTAATTGCCTGAACGGGAAGGTGGAAGCTCAGCGCGCCACCGAATCCTTTGTGGTGAGCATCAGGGCGTAAGCAGGCCGAAAAGTAGGTATCAAGCACAGAGGATTCCACACATGCATGCCGCTTAAGCGGCTTACAAATGGACTTGAAGACTGCAACCTCTTTCCTCTCCCCCCACTGTAGATGCTTCTTACGGGCTCGCGTTGCCCGTGTTCACTTCATAAGCGCCCAATGACCTTATTTACATTAGGAAAGGCTGCAAACCTGAGTTTCGATTCTGTATCTATGTCAGATCTGTTGACATAGACTAGCATGCCAGTGCTGTATCTACGTAGGACAGCATGCAGCAGTCAGCAGATGAGTATATCAAACCACTCAAGCAGGCTCTCTCAATTATTGATTAGTTTGGTACACGCTTATCACTCTTGATTCAATATTGTAGGCCGTCCTATTTGTTTCTATCTCAATGGGCCATTAACAGCCGCTGATGCCATGAATACTACCTAGAGAATCAAGGTCTTTGTGATCTCTCATATGCCTCTACACAGCTTCATCGTGTAAATTCATTGTATAGAGACGACTATCAGAAATCACATGTGGATGCTCAAGAGTTTCTGTCAGAGCCTTGAAAGATCTCACTTCACTGTTGGGCTTTCGAAGCACACCAAACACCTCAGCCGGCAGGGCAACCATGGCTTTCCAAGTTCGTGTTGAGGAAATAACAAACGGCATTAAAGAGCCTTTAGAAAATAATCCATAGCCGGCAAGCACGTTTGAGGGTGAATATTGGAGACTGCAGAGGAGCCTTGGTCCAGCGGAATGCGCCGCCGGACGGGACGCCAACGATGTCGAGCTTTTCAGGCAATTGTGTCCTTTGCTTGTTCTTCCGGCACAGAGAAAGGTGTAGATTGTTGCCGCGGCGAGAAAAGAAGGTTAGAAGAATGTACAATAATTTATAGAAAACGATATTGCGTAGTATTTGCGAAGAGAGCCCGGACCAGGTTGGTGGATCGACTTGCATCCCATGAGGATGGAGATTACTACCTTGCTGAGAGAATCGCGGAAACCATGTATCCCATTTGAATTGAGAAAAGAATGCGATGTTGCTGATTCAAACAAGAGAAAGGCCGGGCGGGGATCGGGGTACCTGTGTACCATTGCCGACTTTGCATGACCGTGGCCACCCGGGCACACAACTAGAACCTGGAACTCATCCTATATCCAAGCCGGTTACACGAAGCCACGCCATGTGCTGCCACCGAAATAACACCGGCCGGGTGTAGGACAGCCGAAATATTGACTCAGATCACTCAGCGACAGGAGTACATGACCACGGTCTTTCTGAATCTCAACGTTGGATGTTAGTCTCGACCACCTGGACATGTCGATCATTGCTTTTGCTGACACTTCTAAATTTATCGAGGCATTTGACCTGTGCCACCGAAGTCTCGGGCAATATTGTCAATAGCCATATTTTGCACATGCCACGACATAGTACGTTTCTTTTTCCTCTTTCTGGTGGCCAGGCAACCACCTTCAAAGAGCACTCGGGTGAGAGGTGGCGGGGCTGCGATGCTTACTTCATGTAATGTAACCTTCCCGCTCAGGTGTGTAACCATTTCCTTTATCTGCCAGAAGCCCTTTCATGCGCAAGGTAATTTGACGTGTCGACAATCCAACATATCCAGGTGTTAGCTTTCAAGATATGCCACAGGAGCGAAGTCCGGATGCACAAACTGGGGTCCTGCCCGGTTGACAACAGCGGCAGTCAAACCTTGAAGTGCAGGATGCAATAAATCTACCAGCGTAACTTACAGACCCAGATCCACTAATAAAGTCTCAATATTGGCTCCAGAATACGGTAGTCATAGTAATATAACGAACTGCTTTGCGTGGCAGCAAGGGTCATGGTCACCCAACTACACATGTACGTAGTTTGAGCATGTGAAACGATGAAGGCCGTATTCATACAACCCGGGACAGAGATAATATTCAAAATAGCCCAGTGTGTTTGTGGGTTTAATTCAGGGACTTCACGGCACCATCAAAATACGTGGACCATATTGCGCCAGAAATGAGATCTTCTATCTACAGTGTACGGAAATCTTCTAGTCAGTAAAAGTAATCTTCATTGGATTCAGAGGCTTGTGGAATAAAAAAAAAGGAAAGCCATGAAATGTTATTGCACCCATCCCGGGTAGTCAGCAGGATGACTGAGAGCTTCAGAATAGCATATAAATAAGAAAATAATCACTCTCATCTGGCCACATCCTACTGGGCTACGATGTAATAAAGCCAAGATCCCATAACTGGACCTATATAATGCTTGCTATAATTTGGCACTTGGGAGCAGCCAGGCTAGGTCACAATTGTATTTAAGACGAAAGCTTTCTTCTTTGATAGCCAACAAGCACGAAGATGGGGGCTGTGGGGTATCCCAGACTTGAATCGGTCTCTGCGCAATTCATCTATTTGACGATACGCTGCCATGTAGACTATGAAATGTGAAAGTCTAAATTCGGAATCAAGGAAAAACTGTGTTGAAGTAAACGAAACACCTTGGAACGTCAGATCCCCCTAGCCCTAAGGGCGACCTGCAATGTGGAGGCAAAACTGGCCACATGATCACTTCCAATCATTGTGTAGTGCGCGCCTTGGACAGCATGAAATACTGGCTCTGTTCGGCAGAAGTCCCTCCATTTGCTCAAGTGTACTTGAACCCATTCTTCCGATGATGCAGCTGCCACTTTCAACGGCTTTGCATGGAAGACGTCGAGAACGTCGACCAAGCCGCTGGGCTCGTATTCCGTCGCCATGCTCTGCGTGATTCCAGTCAGTATTCTCACTCATTCGACGTCTAGGGATCATTCCTGCCACTTACCTGGAGGCTGAACGCCACATCAGCCCATCCTGAGAGTTCGGTCTCGCCTAGACCAAGCTCTTCCATCCGAGCCTTATCAGCGTCTCGGATCAGCTGAGTCACAGCAGCACTGCGAGATAATTCCCGGAAGCCTTCTTGTTCGCGGACATCAGCATGCTCTTCCGTCGTCAAGTCTAAAAAGTATGCCAGATGAAGGAGGCACATGTTCCAGTTCAAATGCCGCATGCGTGCCTTGATGTGTGGGGGGAGGTTGAAGCTGCCCAGAAATCGAACAGAGCCGTCTCCATCCATGGAGTTGAGCACCTTGGTGATTTCAAACGCTAGCATAGTGCCATAGCTGTAACCAGCAATAGCATACGGACCACTCGGCTGATACTGTCGGATAGCGTTCACATATACCTCGACCGTCTCCGCGATAGATGAGAAACAAGTCTGCCCAGGCTCGAATCCCCGCGCCCTCAGTGCGTACACAGGACGGTCATCGATAGCCATATGCTTAGACAGGCCAACAAAGACCAGGATCTCACCCACTCCCGGATGAACCAGCCACAGAGGCGCCTTCTTGCCCTGTGCTCTCAGAGTCACCACCGGGTCGTATTCGGTCGCCGGTGACGCTTCTTGACCAGCGGAATGTCGGGCCAGATGCGATCTGAGGGCAGTGGCCAAGGACCGAGCAGTCGGATGCTTCATAAATACCACGACGGGTATTGTTACATTGAACTGGGTGTCTATGGAGCGCTTGAGTCGGACGAGGTCCATGGAGGTGCAACCAACGTCAAAGAGGGAAGTCTCAACACCCATTTCGTCGACACAAAGTCCTAGCGTCGTTGAGAACTGCTTGAGGATAAATGATTCTTCCTCGGTGGGGCCAGAGCTTCCCGATGCCCTCAAGTGCTTCACAGCGCTCACAGCGGTACGATGCAGAGCCAGGTCGCGATCAAACTGACCCGCTTCGAATAGTGATCTCATCTTGGCTCGAGAAATCTTCCCGAGTGTTGTTGTTGGGATTAATGAGACCGAGTCTTGCTCCAGGCAGAAGGAGATGGGCTGATGACCGCAACACATCAAGCATGCCCGTGATACCAAGTCGTTGATTTCAACTCGCTCTTCATCAGCGATTGGGAAGTGATGAGGGATGCAGGCAACGGTGATTTGCTCAGTATGAGCCGCCCTGGATGGAAAGCTAACAACACGGTTGACACGTGTCCCAAGAGCCTGTTCTACCGCCGATTGAACAGTAGTGCAAGGGACTTTGACGCTGTTCAGGTTGAAGACATCTTTTTGCCGGCCACACAAATGAAGGTTGCCGTTGCGATCGATTTTCGCCTGGTCGCCGGTCCGAAACCAGCCATCGGAAGTGAAAGCAGCCCGTGTTGACTCGGGGTCGCGGTAGTAATGGTCGAAAACAACGTCCCCGCAAAGTTCGAGGTCGCCTATCTCATCGATGAGAACCTCGGTTTTCGTGGGCTCAGAGCCAGCCGCGACGACGCGCATCTCGATTCCTGGAATGCATTTGCCCAGACAGCATGTAGAGCAGCTGTTTTTGATGTCATAGTCGGGACTCTCGAGACTGAATATAGCCCCCGCGCAAGTTTCTGTCATGCCAAATCCCGGGACGATGACATTGTTGCGTGCGCCGTATCTCATAAGTAGAGACAGTGCGGCGATGCAGGTTTGCGTGTCATTGGCCTCGCCACCAGAGGTCAAGAAAGCCAGGTTGGACAAATCCCATGGTCCTGGACCCGATAGAGCATCGACAACTTGGACTAGTTTGGCGAGGAAGAAGTTTGGCGCAAACGTGAAAGCAACACGGTGCTCAGTGAGAAGATCGAGGAATCTCGTAGGCGAGGAAACAATATCCGCCGCGTGGACGTGTATCTGTTCGGCGTTAAGCCAGAGGGCCAGGATATGGATTTCCACCAGGCTCGCGACATGATCCAAGCCGAGCCAGTTCAACAACGGCCTGTTGTCATCGGGCAGTCGTCCAACTGACGCCTTCCCTCTGACACTAGCTAACACCTGATGGTGTGTCAAACTGACTGCTTTGGCGTTCCCCGTACTGCCAGACGTCAACATCAACAATGCAGGGGTCCATCCACCAGTGTAATGAGGGTCTGTTTGCTGTTCTCTTTGGCTTTCTGCCCCATTGCTCAGTTCGGAGAATGCACCGGTGTTGCTGAGCGTCTCCGTGGTGTATTTTCTCAATGTGTCACATCCGTCGAAAGAGGGAAGAAGCTCGACATTAGTGATGGTAATGGGAGACTCCAGACAAGACGATAGATTCTGTAAATGACGCTTGCGATGTTCTTCAATATTACTGAAGGCCGCCGAAAGCACCGGTAGGCCATCCGCGAGGACCACTGACCAGAACCAAAGTATGTTCTCCCAGTGATCTCCCAGATGTATGAGAATAGGCTTTTTCTCACGGAATTCCGCCAAAGATCGTATCACTTGGCTGTTTCTTTTGGCCAGAGAGTATAGGCTCCTGACTGACATGCGATTGGGTGCTGAGATGCTCCCAAGAGGATAGAACAAAAGATCGCCGCATGAGTCGTGATCAGCACAGGCCTTGAGAAGTTCTTGAAGAGATGAGGTAGTGCCCATCCTGGTGAATTATGCCGTTGGCTATTTTGAGTAGATGGCCAGAAACTGCATAAAAAGGTCGGTGGTCAGCTGAGCTCTCGTGCGGTGAGGTTGGTAACCTTTGAGACTCTGGTAAAGTCAAGAAGGATGCTTCACATCGTCCTAGATGGTTGGGAGATCTACCCTACTTATTTTATGCCATCCCAACGTGTTAGCAATCAGCCGCCATCGTCGACATGGTGGCTTGGTGAAGCTTTCAAAGCGGCCTCTGTTCATCTCCTCCGAATCCCTCCCACCCATTCTTCTTCTAGGAGAGTGGCGTCAATGCCGCGGACCTTGACCGGTTGATGGATCGGAGCCCGAGAACAGGGAAACAAAATGGCTTGAAAACCTACCAATGAGAGATCCATATCCTAATGCACTCACAGAAACCTGTGTGACAGATGTTCTTGCAGCACGGTCGAGGAGATGACAGCCCGTCAAGGTTGGAACAGACCCCGTGTGCGCACATTATGGCGGCGAGCCTGCTTCCAACGAATCAGTGACTCGATGGGTCTATCTGAAGCCCATTGCCTCATACAAACGACAATCTCCGAAAGACTTTGCGCGATCGTGGCGTTGATGTGGGTAACATTGATCGAGGCAAATAATCACAAAAGCCGAGGAAGACGCAAGACATGTCACACAGATCTACATTCCATGCAATGTGTCCGGGGACATTGCAAATGATTGGAATTTGAGGCGTCGAGGATGATGGAAAGGACCCAGTCCGAATCTGATGTCCGACAAACCCGAGCGTGTCGTACACGGCATGGTTACCTACAGCTCCAGACCCTCTGTTGTGTTCGTGCCCGGCGGCTTCGGGTTTAGTCGGTTGAAGTCACCGAGTAATAGCTGAGCAGTCAAACCAGTTCCGCCGTTTCACTACCCGAGCGTCGACATCAACATACAGAAATAGCGGTGAGTCCAATTACATTAATCCTGACGCCCTCGTGTATCGTCGACGTTCTTCCGGTGAGTTCGGCGCTCGAAAATCTCTCCGTGGACGTAGCACGCGGACCGAAGCACTTCGTAGCCTTTTACAACCCACCCAATCCCGAAACTACTTTCTCCATCCTCACATATGCTGGTAGGTCTACCAACGAGTCTACCCCACGGATCCTATATCGTCCCGCTAACTGTTTTAGCTTCTGTTCCGTATACGTCCGAAGACATACATGGCGCCTTCGCACGGTGGTGAATGAGGCACAGAGTTGAAAGATCATATAGTGTCGATGACAGTGGTAAAATTACGATAGGTGCTGGTTGATTTACGTGGGGGAAAACATTGACAAATCAGTCTGACTACTTTCAACATAGCTGAGTGGAAAACTCAGGTCTTACACCAACCTATATCTGCATCTGCAGTAATCAAAATGTCTCACAAGGTTCACTGGGCCGGGGCTGCCATGCAAATTTATTTGTCCGTATTTAAGGAAACAGCTAGAATTTTACATTACTTATGGAAAGTCTACTAACTTGGCTGACCCGGCCCTCCAAAAAAGTATTTGTTCTACTATACCAAGTTGCCTCTTACTTCTTTCAAACTACCATCGTCCCGCAACCCTCTAATCGCTTGGTCTATCAGCCCCAGAAACGAATCCTGATCGATCGCAACATCATCAGTCTGCCAATTGGGTTTAGTCCCAATCTCATGGCTCGCCGGAAGCTCACCGTGGCCCGTGAAGTATTTTATACCCATCATCTGAGCCAGGTTCTTGAATCCCTTGTGTTGAAAATTAGGAGGCCTGATTTCAACCACAGCGCCATGGGTCATAAACATGGTGTGCGTCAAACCAGCACCATGTACTCCGACTAATATGTCGGTCCGCTGTATCATTGCCAACTGCTCTGGTATGGACAAGAGTTCGAAGTCCACTGACGACACGTTGACGTTCGGGTACTTTACTTCGACGGCTTTTAGCAATGCCTCAGCGCCTTCGAGTTTACGCCGTCCCGTCCGGTCGATGAAGAGCAGATTCAGCATCCCCTTCGGCCGAGAAGGTGTCTTTGTCAAGGGGGTCAGCATGTAGTGAGTTTTGATGCGATTGACAAAGACCCTAAGGTTCACCGAATCTGTGCAGTTGCGGTCTTCCCAATCGTTTTGCCACAGGGGATTACTGCCGCCGGGCAATGGTACGATGATATTGTGAGGGTGCAAGCCGTCCGTGATTGACTGGTGTTCCTCGGGCGATGCGCGGATCGCTGATAATCGGACAGGAGCTATGCCTGTAAGGAGTGACCAGAGCTCATATAATGGTCCATCTGGTAAGTCGTCAAGTATTACAACTTGGACATTGTGATCTTTGCTTGGAATAGTCAAGAACGGGGGACCTGTCGCATTTTCGATTGGCTCCACCGGCAGGTCGTTATTAACGCGGCTCATGCGCAATGTGTCGAGGGTCATGGTCATCGACCAAATTTCCATGAGATTGTGCCAAATGTTTCTTTCGCCCTCGCGCTTGACAAGAATTGCGTATTTGTTGGAAAGCGCCGTGGTTGTAAAGGAGTTGTGTTCGGGCTGCCCGGAAGGACCGGTGCCCAGTCCTACATCGACAAACCGATCGAATATCGTTCGTGGCCCGGTCTCGTACCAGTGTTGTCTGATGGCATGGAAAGGAACAATCCCCCGAGAAGACTCGATCTGATCAGGTAACCTGACTTGGCAGTCAAGCGCGAACTTCCCTTTCGTCGAGTTGAAGATAGCATTCTGCCCGATGCAGAAAGTGTCGCGACCCTTATCAGCGGAAATTGTAGCGTGGAAACAAGTCAAGTGGCTGGAGCCAGATGAGCAATACTGGATCGAGTGGTTCGTAAAGTCGCTGAGATACTTGGGACTGAAGCGGTTGATGCAGTATTCTGGGTCGTCCCCTGTTTGTACAGTGTCTTCGATGACTCTGTATTCTGCCGGGACTGGGAGTGGCCCGCTTTGGGGTATTATCAGATCTCCCCGCCGTGATTCTGTCGGCAGCAGCCGCGAAAGGCTGTCAAAGCTGTCTTCTGAGGAAAAGACATGATAAGTCGTCAGGCACAGGAATATACTGAGGAAGCTTATTACAAAGCGTCTTCGACCGCCAAAGAAGAGTTGAGGTAGCATCATGCACTATAGTAGAACGGCCTGTACTCGTGACAGAACCGTAGTATATCTGAAAGCCACATAGAAGCACGTATTAAGTTTGAGCAGCAAGTCCAGAGGAATTTAGGAATGACGCTAATAGACGGCAGTCGAAAGAGCCTGCAGGCAGGACATCTGGAGACAGGCATCCGGGGCAACGGCTCGGATCCACCATGAGTCCAGCCATCCTCGACCACATGGTCGCGCTGCCGAGCTTTAAACGACAGCGGTTGGTACATTGTGTAAAATGAAAATCCCCCTGTGGATCTTAGAAGACAAAAAGGACCCGCCAGACCCAATTATTCCAGGCTGTTGGTTCTGTTCGATGCTTCAGCGACCCATCCTCACAACCCATTGAGTGGGTGCTTCACTTGGCGACTCTTCTCTTATTCGCCAGGACAGGCTTTGTCAGACCAACAGTATGCCGGGACCCGCAATACTTCACCCGTCGGCTCCCATGACTTACAAGCAGAGGACCAACACCATTTCACACAACGGGTCTTCTGATTCCAACCAAATCGGGCCACTCTCGCAGTAATGAACGGAGATTTCAACGCCGCCTACCGGTGCACTCTTTCTCGGAGTCAAGAGGGTTAGATCTCAACGGGTCAACCCCGAAGGTTCCTAGGTTTGTAGAGTGAACGTGGCATGGAGGACTTGTGCTGGCTGCCATCGTGTGAACTCATGCCGAGTCGTCGGGCGACTGATTCAGCAGTGGGTACATTGGGATCACCTCGGACCTTGGCCGGTTGGTCTTTTTGGGCGGCTGTTGGCAATGCGAGCGAATTTCAGTTGCCTTCTCAGCGCCTCTTGGCCTGTTTCTTGCCTTGGGTTATTCCTCCAGTGATGGGCAATGGTGAAATTGCATATCCACCAGCATCAGCTTTCAGTCTTCTGATTATCCTTTAAGCTTAATAGGCAATTGATTTCAGATTTCAGCCTGACCCTGGTCCCTTCGTAGAAACAGGGGCCTTTGGCGTCCCAGGGGGGAACCAGAGGGAGTCCCTTCTTACAAGTTTGTGAATCTCGAGTCACAGCGGTACTGTCCATCCATACAAAAAGCCCTCAAGGTGTCCGGGGGGCTTTTCGCCCAGTAATTCACTCTGGCCCCTGCAGAGGTGTAGAAAGCTTGGAATCCAACGCGTGTCCCACAATTGTAATCCTTCATATGGATCCCCTCTCAGCTTCGTATTCATGGATAAAGTCGTCTGGTAGGATTTGATCTGTTCAGCTAGTCTGATCGGAAACACGCTCAGGGGATAAAGGGATCGACCGGGGCCGTTCTCCCGCCGTTATCCTACCGCTCCGGTTTTCCAACATATTGCACCGCTCCACTCCCTTCGGGGGCCACTTTCCTCGCAGATCTGTTCCCAGGTAACACCTATCTGCTCACATGCGCATTTTCAAGAACTTGGGACTTGCCAAAAATGTTCTTCGGTGGTAGCCTAGCCAGCGGCTTCACCGGCGTTTCCGTCATACTCTACGCCTCCCGAGTCCTTGCGGACTCGCCTGGTTGTGTGCCACGCCCCATTTCCCTGGACATATCCAACGTCACATTATCAAACAGCAAGACAGCATGGGGTGTTGGTATGACTGTCGGTACGCCTGGGCAGCCCATGGCCGTCATGCCGCAATGGTACGCAGCGAGTGATTCACACGAGTTTTCCTTGTCCCACAACGGTCGACCCGAGACTAAAGTCTGTATCAAAGGCCACTGAACAGTACCATGTTGTATGGAACCGATGGTCACTGTGAGCTACGAAGCGCGGATGAGTGGTCGAAGTCATCATGCATTACATTCCGCGGGGGCGCCTACAACAGCTCGGGCTCGAGCACCTCGACGACCAACTACCCGTCGTCACTATACACCGTCGATACCGTCGCGCGAGGATGGCCGTATCCCTACCCTGGCACTGACCATGTCTCGGACACTTTGAGCGTCGCCGAAAATACCACTATTCTGGAGTTCCCTCTGAACGTAGCCCAGAGCGCTTGGGACGAGCAGGCCTACCTACCGATGATGGCATTGGGTCTCGGAACCAACTCGACAATCTTGAACGTGCTGAAGAGCTCTGGAAGAATTATTTCGCGCTCATGGTCTTTCTTCTTTGGCTCGTGGGGATGGGATAACCGCATGGACGGCAGTTTCACGTTTGGTGGCTACGACGCAGGCAGGGTGACCGGCAAGGGATCGGAACACTCACTGGCTTTGCCAAGTTCGCCCTGCCCGTCACGCATGGTCGTGAGCGTCACAGGAATGGAGCTCAATTTCCCCAACGGCAGCAGTGCTAGCATAATGGGTACGTCGGATTCGAGTGCTCTAGCTGTTTGCCTCTACCCGTCTGTGCCGACAATGATGAGGATGCCGCTTGAGCCGTACTTCGAAAACTTTATGAGGGCGACAAAGAACTCGATCTACAGAATGGGGAGAACGGAAGGAATTTACTATTGGAATATGAGATACCCAGAAAACATCCCTGCGTCAGTCCTTACAATCTTACCAGTTTACCCTAGGGATTGAGGCGTAAAACCGCTAACATGTTGCAGCTATGACGGCGACTTGACAATAACCCTCGACACTGGACTGAAGGTCACTGTGCCCAATGATCTTCTCGTTGTGCCTCATCTCTATCTGGACCAGGTAACGGGCGACACAGTCAGCAATGCGACCGAGCCCGACCTGCTCATCGACTCTCTACAGGACGTCGAAAAAGACGAAATGGCCATGTTCGGCTCTATATTCTTTTCGGTAGTCTACCTCTCAGCCAACTACGACACTGGAAAGTTCACCTTGTGGAGGGCGAACAGGAGCCCCGACGCAGTCGAAGACCTGCGCACTGTAGGAGCCGACGGGGAAGACCACATGAGCTTCTGCGCAGCCTTAACGGTGGATATCCACAGCAACTTCACGGACCCAGCGAATGAGACGGACTCAACAAATGACACGGACTCAGCGGTTGATACGAATCCAATGAATGGTACCGACTCGGCGGGTGGTACAGCAGGAACCACAGCGGCTGATGGTCGCCTGGCTACCGGAGCGATTGCCGGCATCGCGGTTGGTATTGTCGGCGCTTTTGCAATAGCCATAGGGGGTCTCGTGTGGTGGTTCTTGCGTGGCAAGAGGAAAACGGCCGCCTCCAAGGCTGCCGAGCTCGAGGAACCGGTCCAGAGGGACCTGCCCCCAGAAGTCACAGGCTTCTATGGAACACCCTTCGAAGCAGTCCCCTTCAACGGAACAAGCTTCGATGGCACACAACGGCCGGAGCTACCCAATGACTCGGCCCACAAGTTTGAGTTGCCTGTATCGGGCTCTCCTGCCTTCTTCGAGCTGCCTGGCCACCGCTACTAGGGGATCCTTGGGCATCGAGCGCTTGTTTTGTTAGCTGCACATTGATGTCGGCACTGGCTCTATAATATCCACTTGAAGAAGCTAATAGTACTAGTAGTATAATTGCCTGCACACCAATCACTATAGGGCATTGTCACATGCTGACACGCATGACAGAATTTAGTTCTTGTCTTTCCCAGCGACGTCCTAGTCTCTTTCCAGTGTTGGCCTTGATCTTGTGATTTTCTTCCATCGTTCTTCTCAAAAGTAGCTAGCCCTGAAAGTATTTCCACGGCCCGGGTCTTCATTGTGCTCGTTCCTGTGGCATCACATCAGATAATGCACCTCAAATGCGCTGACCCCACTTCTTCTTGGAATGAATATGGCATTGAATTATTAGGGTGCGTATTTGAATGCCGAATGAAGAACGCTTATTTTGTCTTTCTTCTCGCAGCCTACCCTTTGATTGCAAAACGTGACTGACGCCCTCGACCCCTGACCGCCGATACCTTCCCTTTTCGCCTTTGGGCTTTCAATTTAGTCGTCTTCGCTGGTACAACAAATTCAGAGTACCGAGATTCTGAAGTGTCAAATGGTAACTCTGGACTGTAACTGACCAACAGTACCTTGATCGTGAGCAGGGCTCCACGCTCGCCAAGTGACTTGAACAGGTCTAGGAATGCTGAAAGCCAGTGAAAACCTGAATCGGTTTCGAAATGCCCGTTGAGCAGTTCCAAATCCATGACCAAGTAAACATTACCCGATAGTCCGGATAAGAGATTTTGCAAAAGAGCAAACCACTCTTTCTCGGAAGGGCTGCCCGAAAAAGCCGCAGCGTTGAGGGACATGGACTTCTCTGTCTGTCCCGTTCGCCGAAGATCCAGGACCTGCCGTACCAGATATTTGAGGACGTCTTTGGTGGACATGCTCTTAGCAGCGGCGCCCTCCTGCGACGTGCCAATGGCGAATATAATTGGGATTCTATTCAGTTGCAGCTGCTCGATCACGTCGACAGAGAAACACTTGAGTGCATGCCGCGAGCGAAAGTCTCCCTTGACTATTGAAATATCTGATTGATTTGATCTCGCCCACCGTCTCATGCGCGCAAATTCCCAAAAGCCCTCGGATAACTGACGGGCTTTATTCTGGGACGAGCGTTTCTGGTTGACCAGCAGATAACTCAAAGCTTTTTGTGGGGTCCACAAGTTCGGGCCCTCGAGTGACTGCATGATCTGTGAGAACTGCAAGTCAGTAACCTGCTTGTTGGTGTCGAGTGTGGTTGATGAGATCACTGTGAGACTTGGTCAGTAACCGCAGGGCTTTTCTCTACTAAAGTAGACATTTGCAAGCGCTCCTCTTTGCAGAATCAACTCACAACTTGTAGTTTTTGCGATTGCTTCAAGATGTTCAACGTAACTGGTCTCAAGGCTGTCCATTCTCGTCTTTACCGCCCCTAGCGCAGATTCTATGCGAGAAATACCAAGCACAGAGTCACGTATATCCTCAACATTTCTGTTCACCTGGCGCAGCTCAAACAGCTGTCCGCAGGCCGCCAAGTCTTTCACCAAGTATGACCCGCGCCGGATGTCCTCAAGAATATCGCCGTAGCGGAGATCGAACGGTTGTGTGAAACTATGAATTGTACGTTTGAGAGATCCTTCGGAGAACCATTTGTGGGCTCGCGTGAGGAACTTGAGTATATCAGCGGATAGATTCGACACCGCAGCTTTCATTCGGTCTGTTGGAAATAGACTGGAACGGATCTCCACGCGTGGTAGCGCATCTGCAATCTCAGACAGGGCCTTGGCCAAGCCTTTGACTGTCTTTTCGTGATTTATAACACCCTGGATCCCATGTCAGCTTGCATTGAGGCCCGAAATTAGTGCCTAGGTCCATTTTACCAGTAACAAGAACTTCATTCCTCCCCATATCAGCGAGACGGTTTCCGGGTGTTGCTGGATGAGCACGTCGACGACACCTTCGTAGAAAATCATCTTCTCTGATAACTGTCGCAGCCACTTTAAAGCCTTAGAGTCTGGTTTGCGAGCCTCATAGACTGTACTGCACTGCTTTATAGCATATTTGACATCCTCGATTTTGTTTCCCGGCTTGATGAGTTCAAACTTTTGCTTCTCATCCTTCGCTTGCCCCAAAAATTGAAGCGGTGCCGCCTCGAATTCGCTCTTCAAAAGGCGGACCCCATCCATGCTGTTGAGGCAAGCGCCGATCAATTTTCGCGTTTTCGCTAGCGATGATTCAAAGTCATGAAGATGTGATAGTAACTAGTACGGCGAAAGCTGAGCTGTTCATGTAAGCCATATCCTCTTCACTTTTAAGACAGAGTCTCGGTCGTTGAACAAATCTGTGGACAATCAAATGGCGTTTTTCTACTTCCAACACGTTCCATCGTGCAACACACCGTTGCTGCCTGCCTCGAAGTACCTGCGGTGCTGTACCACTTGGCTGCCTGGTCAGGAACCATGGAGCTGCAGCATGTCAGCAGCGCCGTATGCGTAATTGAGGGGTTGCCACCAATGAGCATCAACCACGATGCACTCCTGATCCTTCTGTGCACTCCAAAGGTGCAGTAGCTGAGTGGCAGTGCTTTTGGCCTTATTGCTGGTGTTGTAGGGTGAGCATCAGGGGGATGTTGCACGATACGCCCAAGTCACACGGCAGTAGGGAGCATTTTCCACGAAAGGCCGGCCGCCACATCCCCAGCCGGCAACACATTCAACCTCTTTCTTATGGTATTTCGTGCGCACAAGACTCCGAGTAAATCTCTTGTTTTGCCAGATGTCACAAGTCCCTGATCGTGATATTTTCCCGTATAACGTATTTATTCCTAATGTACGTACTGGCACTTTGAGTACAGACCTCGTAACACGTCAAGGCAAGAAGACCGACCTTCCCTCTGCTTTCGAAAAGTGCCTCAAGGAGTCTCGGATATCTCGCCTCAAGGCAACTCATCAATTCTTCCGCACTTTCCTCGAAAGGACCTTGACCGCTTTGCAGTACAGTGTGCGACTGAACTTTCTTTCATTTAACCACGACGATGAGAACGACCAGACGTTCCTCGAGCACTTTTCAGACCAAATCTCGACGATACTGCGCAATTTAAGCGAAACCATCACACGAACCATCCAGAATCTGTTTGGAGAGTTTGCAAGTCATCGAATGATACAGAACCTACTAAGAGAGAGTGGCATTACTTTTTTGCTCGAACAATCAACTCCAGAATCGTTGTTGGCTCGTGGCTTAGACGAGTGGGGATTGGCGCAACTCCGAAGATTATATAAACAGAGACCAGGACAGACACAGCTTCATGAGCTCTTTGAAAACTTTGAACTGAAACTTGCAAAATACCAAGTTCGAAAGCGGGGCTTAAAGCTAGCGGAAAATGGTGGATTACTGTCGAGATTGACTGAAGAGATTCGGAGCAGAACTTCGACATATGATAAGCAGGCTGCAACAGAGGAAGAGCAGTGGGGACTGAGTGATAAAGAAGACGAAGACGAAGACGAGAACGAGGACAAAGAACAAGACTCCCGCCTAGAGTCTGGAAAGAAGCAAGGCAACAAGAAAGAGGACCAAGGGAGAATCTGGAAGCATCTCACAATTTCAAGGGACGAGACCTCAGCCAGCGACTTTCTACACGAGAGAATCATCATCCTGTTTCTCAAGCCAAAGCTGGGCAGACGTGAGCAGGGGGAGGTGGGACACAACAGCAAAAGGGAGGAGGCTGAGACCTCAGAGTTCTCCGAGAGTGAAGAAGACACCCAGCTATCTGACACAAGCTCATCAGACCACGCTTCGGTTGACCACAGCTTTCCCCACCAAACATTGTTCAGACAGTCCTCCGTCGGAACAGGTCTAGATCCAGGCTTCTACCCCACCCGTCAACAACGGCATCCCGGTATGAGTGCCACTGACAGCGAGGACTCCGTGGCCGGAGTCCAGAATGGTGGAGGTGACTCGGTGATTTCGACCACCGAGAGTGATGGCTTACGGCGCAGCCAGCTGGTCAGTCGCATCAAATCGCTTGAGCTTGAGCTTCAACGCGTGGAAAACAACCAGTCGGGGCATAGAAACTGGAAGATCATTCATTTCATCTCGGGCGAGCGCATGATGACTCGGGAGTCGACCGGATATTTCGACAAGCCTGTCATGACTCCTGGTATCCAACACAACGACTTTACCCTGAAGGCATTCCTACCAGTCAAAGACGTATGGCATTATGTGAAGCAGGCAGGTCTGGACTTTGTGGTATCACGAAACTATTCGTGGTCGTCATTACAAGGCCAAGTTCAAGGCGCACTGGCCAAAAATCAACCACCGCCGGAACCTACACATTGTGATGAATACATTCAACTTCACTCCAAGCAAATGATAGAAGCACTCCAGGAGTTTCTATCATTACAGCCTGGATTTTGGGATAAATATCCCGATTTCGATGTTCGTGCGCCGATCCATGCACCATACATGTTCCGATACATGCACCGGTCAACAAGTGTTTTGCACCAGCTACACGAGCCTTATGGGCGTCTGATGCGGACGTTGATATCATGGATTGATGAGAACTACACAGACCGGTACGCCGAGGCAGACTCTCATCTAGAAAGGGGCGTGATCACGTTGAGGAATCTGCCATTCCTCGCCTGCCCAGGCGAAGTACTCATATGGAAAGAGGAAGGGAGGGTGAAGTCCGCAGTTATATCTTCACGAATATATCAGACGTCACCACCGATCCTATACTGGGATGGCTCCGAGACCATGAGGTCAAATGACAACCCTGAGAGTGGCGCTAAGAAAGGCGAATTCTCAACCATATGGGCTGCAAACGCATGGAACTATAAATTTGTCGGCGAATTCATCCGCAAGAATGTTTCTATTGACCTCAAGTTCAAGGCCTCATCCTTGGACCAAGAGGTAGCGATCTCAACGCTCGCAGTCTACCCCTTGAGGTTCGCCGACGAGAATACAAGACTTCAGTTGGAGAGACGAGGGCAGACCTTTTGGGGTTGTCTCATTCGTAACTTGGTGTCGTACACAGGCGAGGATGGCATGTTCACAGTAAGTCAACATTCTGCCAGCAAATTGCACACGAAACTGACATTAGGCCATAGAGTGGTGAGCGCTTCATGGTGGACTTCCAGATATACAAGGAACTCCACAGCGACTCTCTCAAGTTCGAGTTGGTTTACGGAGACATCAATGGCAACGAAGACAGTGAAGACCACGAAAGGCGCAAAATGAGCGCCGATGAGATGGAGTCTGAGACACCGCCCAGTGAACCTAGCATCTACGTCTTTCCTGACATTGTCCCCGGATACCACTTAAGGAGCAAGAAATGGGGTAAGGAACGACCAAACGCGTCAAGAAGTACCAAGCCTTTGCCAGATGAAACTAATGATGGATATAGTGGACCTCGAAGTCGATCGCATAACAGACGTCAAGTGGAATAAAAAGTCATTCGACAGCCTTGTAATCGATTCGAAAGCCAAGGAAATGATACAAGCGCTCGTCAGCCACCAGATAGAGAGCGAAAAGGGCACCGACCTCATCCACCGCAAGGGCAACGGCCTGATAATCTTGCTGCACGGCGGCCCAGGAACCGGCAAGACCTTCACGGCGGAGAGCGTGGCTGAAATAGCCGAGAAGCCCCTGTTCTGCGTGACCTGCGGAGACATTGGCACCAAGCCGGAGCAGGTGGAGAAGTATCTCGAATCGGTGCTGTATCTCGGCAAGACCTGGGGCTGCGTGGTGCTGATCGACGAGGCTGAGGTGTTCCTGGAGCAACGCAGTCTCGACAACCTCGAACGTAATGCGCTGGTCTCGGTCTTTCTGCGGGTCCTGGAATATTACGAGGGGATCCTCGTGTTGACGACCAACCGCGTGGGGACCTTTGACGAAGCCTTCAAGTCTCGGATCCTTCTCTCCCTCCACTACGAGAAGCTGACAAAGGGCCAACGACGCAAGATCTGGCGGGGTTTCATCAACCACTTGCAGAGCACCCACCGTGACTTGTCCAGCCATGACAAAGACATCAAGGGGAAGAACGGGGAAGGCCCTTCAGAAGGTGTGCCTGAAATTGCCTACCAGGAGATTCTCGACTCCCTCGACGAGCTATCAGCCCATGAACTCAACGGCCGCCAGATACGGAACATTATTACCACGTCTCGGCAGCTTGCTAAGTTCCGCAAGCAGACGTTGAACTACGGGCTTCTCGAAGAAGTTATCTCTCTGTCGGGCAAATTTGATGAATATTTCCGCAAGCTCAACGAGAATCAGTCCGACGAGCAGATAGCTAGGAGTGATGGGATCCGATAAGAGCCTTTCACGAGAGCGCGATTCCAGATTGCCATTCGGTATGGAAGAATGGTTTTACGAGATCTTCAGGCAACGGCTCATTGCGCGAGACTTCCTCGGACCAAGGGACAAAGGACGGGCTTCTCTTTCCATGTTTTCTCCCCTTTCTGTCGTCCTTTCTTTTGGTGGTTCATCATTGCTGGATATCATGGTGGTATATACTGGTATTTCATTTGAACTATGACCATCATTGCCCGGTGAGTATCTAAGTAAATAGCTGTGGAAAATGTGCTGGGCATGATAGCCTCGATGCGACGCCGTGGATGTGCAGCTTGAGCTCATGGTGTAATCTCATAAATGCCTGTCGCCAAATCCTTCAAAGTGTCCACGACACCTGCCCCCCTCCATGACACTTTCCATGCCATCAACGCCGTCAGAAAAATCATGCACCACCACAGCATACAAGATCGACATCAAATGCAGCCCACACCAACACCTGAACAACCCAAACTCCGACCCTTGTCTCGAAAAGAAATTCATTGATATCCCTTACGTAGCCTTGCACTCCAGTCCCACCGACTCCAACGCCTCGACCAAGCGCTTCAGCGTCACCGGCCTCGTGAGGAACATATCGATGCCGCTAGCCACCGCGTCCTGCTGGATTCCCGCGCCTGCGAGGCCCGTCAGCGCGATAATGGGAGTCTGATCCAGCCTGTTTGCCCTCTCGTGCTGGCGGATCCGGCGTGCTGACTCGAGGCCATCCATGACGGGCATGGAGATATCCGTCAGGATGCAGCAGTAGTCTGACGGGCAGTGTGCGTACTTCTCCGATGACTCGAGACCGTTGATAGCCGTCACGTAGGGCCGCTTCAGCTTTTTCATATAAGCTGATAAGATCTGTGCAAAAATCAGTCAGCATCAAGGTCTCAGGAGTGATGCAAGGGCAATAGCCCTATAGAGGCAGACTGTCCACATACCTTGAGATTGATAGCATTGTCATCAACAATGAGCACAGAAGCCGGCTTGACAGCCGTCTCCATCGGATTCGCCCTCTCGACGACAGGGGTCATGACAGCCACGGTGCCGCCGAGCGTCGACTCCTCGGGCGGTGTCGGCAGCGGCGTCGGATCCGTCTCAGCAGCGGTCTTGGGCGTCGCTGTAGCCGCGACGACAGTCGCGCGCTTGGAGGTGACAACGGTCACGCCATGGCCCTCCTTCTCCTCGCGCTCAGGCACGAGGCTGGCCCTGCGCCTGCCGGCCACGGGGCTGTCGACCTGCGTGCCTTTCGTCGCCGAGGTCGGCAGGACATCGACGGAGGTCGTGTGGTGCGGGACCAGCTGCTGCGCCGCCTGTTCCTGCTTCGTCGTCCACATCCCCAGCAGGTGCACGAGGGCCCTGGCGAGCTTGCGGGGCCCGAACGGGGGCGCGAAGAACTCGAAGGTGCGGATGCGGCTGGCGGCGTCGGGCAGGTTGTATGAGAAGTTGCGTGTTGCTACTAATGCCTCGCATACGAAGAAGACGGGGCACTCGGCTTCGCCTGCGATGCGCTCGCCGTCGGTGAAGGACACGTTTGAGTCGTGGTGTATGATGAGGTCCGGCTGCTGCTCTTGGCTCGGTGGTTTGCTGGGGTCGAGGACCTCCATGGACAGCCAGTCGCGGCATGTGCTCTCGAGGAAGTGCGCCTGTGATTCGACGAGCTTGCCCATCTCTTGCAGGGCGGTCGAGCTGTGACGGTTCTCCTCTGAGTCGGGCGATTCGAAGCCCCGCAGAAGCACTTTTCGTCCTCTGAGGGTCTGCACAGCCTCTCGGAATCCCGTTGGATCTCCGGGAACTGGCGCGTCCCCTGTGAATGGTAGCGGCAGTGATACTGTGATGGTGGTGCCTCGGCCAACTTGGCTGGCGACTTTGATCTCCCCCCCTAGGTTGACAGTGATCTGCCTTACCAGACTCAAGCCAAGACCTGTTCCTGGCGCGAAGTTATCCTCTTGGCAGAACGGTGTGAACAGGTGGTTCTGGATATAGTCCTCGCTGATGCCCTTGCCGGAGTCCGAAACAGTGAGCAAAATGGTTGCTCCAACATTGTGCTGATAGGGCTTGGCCGCTTCCTGCGTGAGGCTGACCTTGATGAGGCCAGACCGGGTAAACTTTAGAGAGTTGCCGAACAAGTTCATCACGATCCTCCGGAACGCCCCTGGGTGAGTGTCGAAACGCCACGACGTAGACTTTTCGATATCGAGGAATATTTGCACGCGCTCCTGGGATGGATCGACCGCTCCCGTAGACGGCCGTTGTGACCTCGTATATTCCAGGTCGTCTCGTAGTGATCTTTGGGCAGACATTCGCTCGTGACTGTACCCCGCAAGAACACTCTCGACAACCTCCTCAACCAGGCAGTCCAGCTCGACCGGCAGCGTCTGAGTCCTCGTCTTGCCCTGCTCTGAGCGCTCGCCGGGATGGGCGTTTACCTTGCCCAGCACGCTGTTCTTCTTGCCCATGTCGGCCCGGTCGTTTTCTATGAAGCTGTTTATCTTGCTGTAGTCGAGCAGGTGGTTGATGGTATCGACCAGGGTCTTGCCCGATGTCTCGATGATATTTAGCACGTTTTGTTGCACACTATCAAGCTTCGAGTCGTGCAGTAATTCCACAGCGCCAACTAGTCCGTGGAGAGGACTCCTCAGCTCGTGCGAAATGGACCCGAGAATATTGCTCTTGATCGTCTCCTCGGCTTTCGTATTTAGTCGGTAGAGCTCAGCCATTATACTCAGACCAAACACCCGCAAGAAAGTCACCGTCCCGTCGGTCGTGAAAACTCGCGTCGGGTTTCTCGTCCAGACGAACCCTCCCGCAGACCAGCGCTTCTTCTGCCCATCCCAGAGCGGTATCAAGACGACGCTCCTCGCGCCGGGGAAAAGGTTGACGACGGCTTGAGCAGGGCTCCAGCGCTTCTGTGTTGTAGCTGTCTTTTGCGCGGAAGTGGCGGCTAGGTGAATATCTTCTGGGTCCTGGCTGTCTCGTGACCACTGCCGCGTAGGAGAGGCTGGCCGTTTGAGGGGCATGCCGGGCGTGGCAGCGTTGGGGTCTCGAGCACTTGCTGTCTGGATTACGCTTCCATCAGCATCGAAATTGAATATCTTGCCCTGGGGGTATCGTCTAAGCAGCCTCTGCAGGTTCCTGTCCCGGAGTCCCTCAAACTGCCACGGTGAGCGATCTCCGCCGATAGTCGATCCCTGCGTGGTCGAGTAGCCGAGGACATTGCAGTAGTCCTCCCTCCTCCCTGCTGACTGTGTTTGACTCGTCGCATCCTCGTCGTTGCTCAGATAGTTGATATTGTCCAGGCCGACCGTCGACACCTTCCGCCCGCTCGTGTCATTATTCTGTTGACCCACGAGGCCACCAAATGATCGCACAGTCGCGTCAAGAAACAAGACGCCATCCACTTCCACAGACTGACGGATAATGTTTGCCGCCTTCGCAAACACCCGGCTCGACTCGGCCAGCTGCAGGTCGGCTGAGCTGACCTGTGCGACGGCGGGCTGCTGCGTGCTTGTGCTCGCTGCGGAGTGCCGCGAGTCGGGCCGCGGCGTCGAAGACCTTGAAGAATCGTCCGGGGCCAGGCTCCACGACGCCTTGGACCCAGCGTTAGCAGACACGGTCATGCCTCGAGGTCCTAGCAAAGGACTTGCCTTGCCGCCTGTCGGAGAAGCCTCGGTCGTCGACACAGCTGGACTTCGCGGACCAGAGGATATGAGTGCTTCCTCATCCCCGACATTGGCCGTGGCGGCAGTCCTGATCGGCAGCAAAGGCGGCCCCTCCCGCTTGGCGGGGATTTCTTCCTTCCTCTTGACTCTCTCCGTCGAGATATCAGCCGAGATCACGAGCCGTGATGTCCGCTTGCTCGAGCGCCCCAGCCCACGCGTCGGGCCTTCGAGGGCGGGATCAAGCGAGTCTGAGCCCTCAACAAAGTTCCCCATGCCGCGCACCATCCTCTCCGACTTCTGGTACTTCCCATACGAGCCCCGATACTCAAGATAACCCATTATTGTCCGCGACATGTCTCGCATGAACTTGATGTCGTCGCTGGTCAGCCCTTCCGGCCGGGGCGTCGTGTCGAAGATGCAGTACACGCCAATGTTTATGCCGTCCGGCCCCGGGGTGCGTATAGGGACACCGGCGTAGAACCTGTTGTATGGGCTGCCGTGAATGTACGGCCTGTTGTGGAACCGCCCGTCGGCCGCCAGGTCAGGCACGACTGACACTGGCAGTTCGTCAGCAGCGGAGGAGTCGGCCTCTGCTTCCGGGGATCCGTCGACAGAAGGACTGGCCGAAGAGACAAGCACATGCTCGCATATCCCAAAGGACCGCGGTATAGCGGTACCGCAAAGCCAAAGGCTATCATCCCCGACATCCTGTTCACTGCTGGGTTCGTGGTCGCCGTCCGTGATGCTCATGCGCCGGGCAGGCTCGCGGACACCCAAGGGCGACGAACGTGTCGCCTCGGCGACAACATGTTGGCGGTCCCGGTCGAATAACGAGATAAGGGCTCGCGTGGCGTTCAGCCTGTGCACGGCGAGCTGTGCGTATGCGGTCAGGCTCGGGTCCGTGGCCGAGGCGAGGGTGGCAGGCGGCACCGGGTCGTGCGGGTCGTTGAGATTCGCGGACGTCCATCCGAGGTCGTCGTATCTTTGCGGTTGGGCATCTCGTCAGCGGGGATTGCCGAAGTGCAAGCAAGCGGGTGGATAGAGGGAGGCGTGGAGCGAGCGTGGTGTGGCTGCGCGGGTGTCTGCTGTCAAGGGCGGGACATACTTGAATGTTTCTCTCTCCCGGACGTTCTCCGACACACTTGGGTCTGCCGTGGGCGCAGATGGAGCGTGTGCCCAGCTCGGCTGGTCGATCAGGTCCATAGCCCCTTGAAGCAATGGGTCGTTGGCGAGTCGGGGCTGCTACACGCTTCTTCCATGGACTTCTCTCCTACTGAATCGCATGATAGATCGCCTATATGTTGGCCGGGACGGGATCAGGGCAGCATAGCAGCACCGGGAAGATCTTGGTTGGGCTGGATGGTACAAAAACAGGTTCCGACAGGCCCAGAACAAGGAAGGAAGAACAACCAGATGAACTGGCGAAAAGTCGGCGGAGGCGAGCAGCCCGGGCCTTGGGTCGGCCGTCTCCTTGGAACCGAGACCACTCCAAGTCGGCCAGGAACATTGAAACCTTATTTTGCAAAAACCCCTCCGCTCCCGCGCAACAGCCCACGCCGTCGGGCACCAAACCTGTTTTCCTCTTCCAAGTCTCAAACTGCCAGCTGCCAGCATGCCGTCCCCTTTCCCACCGCTGACTCGATCCGCACCATCCTTGTTCCAAGGCGGGGAGCCCACAGGCTGGAGAATGACGATCCTGCCGCCCGGGAATAACACAGAGCTGGGTCGCAGCTTCTAGGGGGGCTCTAGGTCGTTGATCGGCTGCCCATCCCCCTACGGAATACCTTTTCGCCCACAGCTGCGGAAATGCCGTATCCCTTGGTGAAAGATTCCCATGTTGGCACGTCGCAAATCGGCAGATCCAGATCCAGATCGCGCATGGGCAGCTCGGTGCCACCAGACCAGCATGCTCGCATCTAGAACTCAAGGGTCCTGCAGCCATGTAGAAAGGGTGACAAATTAGGGGTCCAATGTCAGGGCCTGCATTGGCCTTGGGAGTTGGCCCTGACGGCCTAGTCGTTGACTAGAGGCTAGATCTCGGCTGGAAGGCCGGTCGCTTGTCTATAGTAGCAGCACTAATGGCAAAAATGGCTAGGGACCTCTGATACTCGAGGCCAGGCCGGGCCATTCTTGGGCATGGGACCACGACTGTGAAGTCAACGCTACTGGCTGCTGCTCTAGCGGGATCTACGTTGAGACCCCCGGCTGCCCCGGCTCCCCGATGGTCCATCGGCTGCATGCTGTGCATGCATGCAAAACGTGCGTACGCGGGTGGCGGGTCTCGTCGTGGGCCCCAAAGTGGACTGACAGCCGTCCATCGCGTAGTGCCCAGCCAGGGGCAGGAGGTAAGGCATCGTCATTGCAAAATCACTCGAAATTCTCAAGCATAGGGGATGGAAGGCCTGAGGATTAGGTGTCAATTGCGGCGAGAACGATGGGGTGCCAAAACTTGGAACGCAAGTCGACCTCGGGATCCAGCCAGCGAAGCATTCAGCCGGACGTGCTATTCCACTGAATCGCATTCGAGCCCAATGAAAACTGACCCTTGCCGTCCCGTGACTCTTGTCTTGAGTATGGATATGAAAGACACCAATTGTCAATATCGGTGGTACTGCCGCCAGCGGTCATCAGACAAGGCCGCCTTGCACGCACAGGTCGTTCGTAGCAAGCCATCATTGTCTCCTAATCTTGACAAGTTCTTTCCGGGAGTAAATGAGGTGAGAAAATGCGAAGCACCCAGCTTGAGCAAAGGCACAACACGGTCCTTGGGATGCTCTCGGGGCCGTGCTTGCCGTTGCACCTTGACCTTGCCTACACGAGCGTTTGGGCGACGATTTAAGTAGATGTGGACTAGCATAGTCGAGGTACGACTCCAGACATCCGAGATGGCAACCCCATTGACGCCGGACCAGGGCCAACGACACGAATATCGCCATTCCGGCGATCGCGTGTCCTCGTCACGTTCAACAGATCCCGCCCCTCGACTCGGTAGTCACCCAGATCAACGTTACACTGGGCACGTTGGTCGAGCACATGCGAACTTTGTCTCGGGACAGAGGGCACACAATGGGTTGCTAGCATAGCCCGACTGGGGACCGTTTCAATGACAGGAAAACGCACTTCTATTAAGACTAGTAGAGTGAACAAATATATCTAGGCGCATAGGGTCATAGAGAAGAAAATTCGTGGCCTTGCAACAATGCCGTTCTTGGTTGATATATTCAGTACGTTGGCTTGCATTACAGTCTCTCAAGCACAGAGATCCAATGCCTAGAAGGAAGACTTCTGCTGCTTCACACAAGATTCTTTCAATACAAGCCAGTCATGGAGCCCAGAATTCTCCCTGCGGCATCAGCTTCAGGGCTGTCGAAAGTGACGACGCCTGCTGGGTCCCCACGACCATCGACAGCCAGCGAAATTCCGCTGATTACAGAAGGTGCCATAATAGATGTCGAGCTTCAGCCTACTCTGGATGCATCAATCGGAATCAACACATGCGGCTGGCACGAAGGTATGTGTGACCAAGCTTCTTGTTGACTGGCAGCATCAATCGGGCTGACAGTAGTCGGATAGGCACGGCAGTGACCTGCGCTTCACCAGCAACGTGCGCATCCTCCAGCGCCTATCTGGCATGCTGCATCGACCAACAATGCTCGTCCAGCGTTTTCAATACGGGTTGTCTGCCATACACCGACGTTGCCTGTAAGGCGGGTACCCCAGGCCCGGCAACAAAATGCTGGTCCGTATGCCCGCCCCAGTCACCATAACCTGCCGCTGCGTGGCTAACGTCTACGATGCACATAGCACCGACCAGGCAAGACCTGAATGCCAGACTATCTTCTGGCCCACGAGCCCCGGCGCGCCGGGGCAGACAGTGTTCACGATGGTGGACTGGTGCGCTCCGACGTCACGGGCCGGCAGTGGCATCCTGGGCACGACGCCTCCCCCTCAAACATCGACGCCACCTCCGCTTCCGCAAGAGTCAGGCTTCCTCAAGGCCCCAGCCGGGACAATCTTGGAACTATTCCTCGGCGCGATCCTCATCCTCGTCCTCGTCGCCATCAGCTGTGTCATTGTCGCCCGCAAGGTGCGATCGACTCGAGCACGGGAACTGCGAGCGAACGATTCGCGGAGTTCTGTTACCGTTTCTGCCTCTCCGGGGAGACCTAGTCGAGATCATGGCATTCCGCTGTCTACAAGCCCTGAGACTCCACGTACAACTGGGGATACCAAGATGGACCGACCTCGTCGTGGTGACATAGAGCGCGGATCTGCGGGATTACATGTGGCATGAGCAGAATTCAGCTCGCGCGGAAGATCTGGACTGCACGAATCTTCGAAAGTATGGCACTTACTGTTGTTCCAGATGAACAGAGGATCTGAAAGAATACAAAGAGGCCTATGTCTTCAACACCTACATATATCATATGTCGTATTTATCTCTCTCTTTCCGTCACAGTTCACTGTCGCCAAGCCCCACTTGATTGTGGGCTGCAGAAGCGCAAAGTGGGCTGCTTATGGTAGTAAGACGGTGCATCTGTTGGCCGCTCGGCTGCAATCGTTGAGACATCCATGGATGTCAGCGACCGGATACTGTGTTCGGCGCTGACGTATTAGTTTGGGTCAGCGCCATTCAGGTAGTCGACGTGTTTCCCCACAACTCATTCCTTCGTGTCTTTTTCCTCTACCCCACGGCCTTGCTATAAAAGCAGGAGCGTTTCAACCTTTGATGGCAATATCACTTTTTTGGTGCGTCAGACAGGAACGTCATGGACGGGAAGACCCCACTGGGCTCTCCGAGCCAAAAGCGACAAGCCCGTCAACCAAGATGGCGAACTCTGGCCTGGGTTGTAGCAGCTCTGCTGCTCTGGTATATCCTCATACCACGACTTCATTATAGACTGCGACCAATAGCTTGCCATAACATGACACAAGTCACGTACGAGGGCGAGAGTGTATTGTGGGAGCGTTGCGGCGAGATCACTGGCCATCCCCTGGAGTGCGCCAACGTTACCGTGCCCATGAACCACTTCGCGCCAACCAATTCGAGCCAGGCGAATGCAAAAGACAAGGTCTTCATTATCCCGTTGATTCGAATGCGTGCCAAGAATGCCACGCAGAATCTCATTATCAACCCTGGCGGGCCCGGAGGCAGCGGCATCGGCATGGTTTACGCACAAGGCGACGAGATCAACACCATTCTCAACGAAGGCTATCACATCTTGTCATTTGACCCGCGTGGGGTCAATGGGTCGATTCCCAAAGCCGAGTGCTATCCCGACGAGGAAACTAGACGAGCTAAGTCGAGGCCTCACAGGGGCGGCACGCTTTCGGACACGGGTGAGATGTATGCTTGGAACAAGAATCTTGCTCGTGCGTGTTACGAAACAATGGGGGAGCATGCCAAGTACAGTGGGTGACGAATCAAAGCTATCGTTACTGGCAGCATGAAGCTGACTTCTGGGGCAGTCAACACGCCCCAGACCGCCGCAGACATGAATAGCATCCTCGACGCCCTTGGACAGGAGGACATGATCTACTGGGGTTTCAGCTACGGGACGACCCTGGGCCAGACCTATGCCACCATGTACCCGGAACGCTCGAAGCGTGTTGTGATCGACGGAGTATCAAACATATTCGACACTTACAAACGGCTGGACACCGAGCAGAAGATGTTAAGCGACAGCGATAGGGTCCTGTACGGATTCTTCGACGAGTGCGCCAAGGCAGGGCCGGACCGCTGCGCACTTGCATCATTCGGAGAAACCGCCGAAGAGCTCAGGGACGTGGTCCTGTCGCGCGTGGACGAGCTCAGGGACGAGCCACTCAGTGTCTATGTCAACAGTACGCTGTACGGCACATTCGACTACCCGGAATTCCTGACGAACGCCATATTCTACTCACTCTACGCCCCGAAGAAGTCCTGGGTCCCCTTTGCGGAGCAGCTTGCCAAGTTCCTCAACGGAAATTCGACCGATATCTGGATGGAGCACGGTCGCGCGGATGTCTTCGCTAGCATCGGCGAGGCCAACCGCTTCATAACATTCAACGACGCGAAGTCAGGGCCGGAGTACTGGCCCCAAGACCGCCAAGCAGTGGTTGACGAGATGGTGCGCGTCACGAACCGCCGGGGGAGCCTTTTCTCGAGGATAGACATGTCCGGATTCTTCGGAAGGCAACAGTGAGATCTGACCCAATGCTCTTTTGGAATTGGTTGATTTGTTCTTTCATCTCCTCTTGGATTCTTGAACTGCAAACCCCCGCTGACGTGAGCTCAATCGAACGCAGGTGGCTCATACCCCACACACACGATTTTGTTCCCAAGGAGAAGGTTGAGACCGCCCACCCGCTGCTCATTCTGACCACAAGCTACGACCCAATTTGTCCAATAAAAGGGGCTCTTGTTGCCCGGGACATCTTCTTGGGGTCTCAGATCATAGAGTCGAAGGCGTACGGACATTGCTCAGATGCGATGCCCTCGCTCTGCGTTGCCCGGCATGTCAAGGCATATTTCGATGAGGGCACAGTCCCAGAGAATTATACAACTTGTGAAATTGATGGGGAGTATTTCCCCAGCGGTGAGGCAGATTCAGACGTGTTGAATAGTCGGGGTCTGTTGTCCACCGAGGATCCTGAGATGGAACGCATACACATGGCACAGAGCAGACTGGCGCAGAAGTGGCCCACATGGTGATGCGCCAGGAGTTTATAGATGAGCACAACAAATACCCGAGTCTTACTGTGAGTTTGGTGTCCGTCAGCTACCCTAGGGTATGTACTTAAGTAGTGACCAATATTGCGGATGGACCGGCAATTGCAAACCTTGTTGGTGAGCTTGTCTGGGTTGTTTAAAACTCGGGTGGTTTCGTTTTTGGTCCCCATACATATACCACCTTTTAAAACTCAACTATCCACCAAATAGAATTCGGAATTCCCGTACATGCTCGTCTAGAGCCTAGAAAAGTTGATCCAGGCGGAGACTACTAGTAGCTAAAAGGCCGAGAGCAGCGATATGGCGTCAGTGCACGCGTCTTCGATCTTTCATGTCGCACGGTGAACTTGCTTGGCCGAAACTGGTGCTGTTCAAGCTGCTCGCAGACGCAAATTAACTTCTATTCATCCACCACTCTATGTTATTCCGTCGTGGCATTTTACTGAAACCAAAAATGGTTTAGTCTCAGCCAGGATCGACCTGCTTCTCCAACTGCAGGAGCCGCATTCTGGGACTCTATCGATAGAAGCAAAGCTCCCTCGGCAAGAAGCAGCTAGGAGGACGTCAGATCCCCTCCCCCGCACTGATTCGTCTCACAAGACAACTTTATAAACAAACACGATGCAGGGGGGCAGAGCACCCCCCTTCTCCCCGCCTGCTCTTGACAGGCATCCCTTTCTTTTCACTTTAACTCTGTTCCCATATCTGCCCTGACCCCGTCGGCGAAATATACAATATGGAATTATTGGCTGGGTTGTGCAACGTCCCTAAAGATGCGATAGATGCGGACTCGGCTCAGATCCCCAATGCCAGTATTCCTTCGCTGGACTCCACCTTGAAGCCCGCAGCGGAGAGCATGACCTTTCCCCTCTTCTCGTGGCTTCCCAAGGAGCTCAGACTCAAGATATGGGAGGAGGTCACCCCGCGGGAGCGAGTTGTTCACGTCTATATTCGTGTCTGCCGCGATGAAAACAACGAGGTCGTCGAGGCCCCGGTGCGGTACCTAGAGAAGAACCACCTCGGAAACCCGGTCAGCGGCTCGCTCTACTGGCTTCTCGTCGATGATCATCGACTGGACCATCCGCTCCTCGCTGTCAACAGGGAGGCCCGGCAGGTCGTTATGGACTTTTACCGAATCCAGATACCATGCCCCCGCGCGTTGTCCCGTGGCTCACATGCCAACCGACAACAAAACGACAGACAAGTAAAAACGTTTTTCTTTAACCCCGAGCACGACGTGCTACAAGTTCGGGCAGAAGAGCCCGTGAACCGAACCCTGATCGATTTCCTTTGGGATTTGAAGGCGTACGACCCCAAAGGCGTCGGACTACTCAAGATGGCAACGGACATAAAGACCTTCTGCGAGAACGATCTGCGGTTTCTAAAGCGGTCAGACTTACTGCTTATCCGTCAGCGCCAGGCCCTCGTCGAGACGCTGAGCCAGCTGCAAGAGGTCTGGTTTATCAACACAGAGCCCGCAAAGAATGGATTCGTGATGGGGCAAGGCAGCCTGAGGGGCTCCCCACCCACTTATCCTTCTGGATGCAAACCCGTGGAGTTCGAGAGCATCGGGCTTGATACGAGAGAGGGCGCAGAGAGTGCGCTTCAGTCCGTCTATGTGGGCATTATAGACCCACGGGAGCTCATCTGGCGATGGAAGAAGTTGCTGCGTACCTGGGAGATACACCATGCGCGCGGACAAGTCAGATACCGGGTGATCGTGGCGCAGCGACAATTCTCTTCGGAATATGGAAAGAATGGCGGATCAATCACGCGGAAGATGCGTGAGTTATCTCTTGGACCTTCGGATCAGGTCGGGAAACACTTGAGATCCCAGTCTTGTGCATGCCAGTACTGTACATGTGAGGTTAGCGGCCCATCACTGCGAGACCATGCGGGACCGGAAGGACCAAAAAGCTCGGGGTCCACGATTGCTCCTGTTGGCTTTTGGTCGTTTCCAACTGAGGCATTGGGAGAGATCGGAGAAGGTGAAACCCTCAGTGATATGGATTTTCAGCACAACCGTTTCCTGGACATGAGGAATTACTGGCCGGAGCTGCTCGTTGCGAACGTGGCTTGAATCTATCCTTAGAAGCAAGAGTAGACAAAGACTAGATCCTGGAGCAACAAAACCAGAGTAGACGTGATTTTGAACTTAGAACGTCTCGACGCAATCTCCCTTAGCATTAACACCTTGTGTCTTGAGTCTTATCTAATTTGACCTTCGGGCTGTCTTGCCCAGGTCTACATGAACTGTGAGTGTTTTTGACCACAACCTCAGTGGAGCTGATTGATATCCCAGGGATGTCTAAAATATGTGTCTTCGTCACGACTATGTTTTACGAGTGCTACTTGGTTGGTCGCTATGCAGCCATAATAGTATGTATCTCCCAATCTCCCATTAGGTAAACCTGTAGAGCTCCCCCATTTTGGATTCCCTGTCACTGGGTACCCCCCTACAAGTATGGGGCTTTCACCATGAAATTAGGTACTATAATGGAATTCTGTAGAAGGTAATAATATGGAGGTTATCCGACTTATCTATATTGGTTCTATTACGAGGTGTCGTTAATTTTAGAGGAATGGTGGTAGCATGGTGATAGCGTGCAATTACATCGAAATCCATCCATGGATGGATGTGATATTTGTCACGCTTTGGATACACGGACCGAAGATAGTCGCGGCTTTCTCATCCGCCACGGAAACTGGCACAGATTACCACAAGGCATGCAGCGAAAAGCCCGGTTGCAGATATGTTCCTTCGTAATTTCGCCGGAGGACGATTTTGTCTATGTTCCTTCATCCCGGACTTTCCGTGAGCCCAGTTCCGAGTTATTAGTGGTGGGGCCGCCACGGAATCAACCTCGGATCCGATTTGACACGTGCGTGAGTACGTATTACAGCAACGTCAAGTCAGAGGGACGCGTCTGTGAATTGTGACAAGGCCTGCAGGCCTGTTGTTGTTGGCGTCAACCCCGCAAGGTTCCCAAGGCCTTGGCATCCAAATAGGGGTTGGTGGCGTAGCATGCGCTGCGAAGATCACCGGCATTGTGTGCCGTGAGATTGGTTATCGAGACTCAACCTGGCAACCTGGCTGGGAGGATTCCACTATCAGTTTCCGTGGCTGGCTTGAGGCTACTTGGTTCGTCCCAAGTCGCCGGTGCAACTGTCAAGTCTCCCAGCTCATCCGGATATACCACAGTGCCACCAGTTTAGCAGCGCGTGAGGGCAACAAGATTTTTGTGCGACAATGCGCAAATGCATATTTGTTAAGGCTGAAATTCGGTTACGCATCACGCCGTCGACTCTTCCAGTCTGATCGCTTTGTGGGTCAGTTCCATGACCTGGCCTGAGACCGTCTCTCCTCGTTCTCCGACAAGTCTTCCCTGGAGCCTTGGTTCAGGAAGACAACTGGGAGATGGCACATCGCAACATCATGTCGAGCCCGAGCAAGATGCTGAACTCGTCTCGTGGAGTCCTGTTCGTGCTGATTGCGTTGCTGCTGCTCTGGGGCTTCCATCTCGGCGCCTACCTGGACCCCTCAAGCTCGGGTGGATCCACGTCATTGTTCGACTTCAAGTCAAAGAGCGCCAAATCTCCCCTGTCAGCACATGTTCACACTTATTTCGACCAGGTTTTCGCTGCGGAGAGACCCCCGGACTATGCATTCACTGCTCTCAAAGCCGCCTGCGAGCGGACGACATGGGAGGAGCACAACAAGAACACGTTTCTGAGATGCGACGGCATCAACGCGGGCATGACCTCGATCATGTCTCAGGTCAAAGTGTGCTTCAAGATGGCGATCGACGCCGGCGTGAACATGCTTCTCCCCGACATGCCACTGCGAGACAGCGACGACCTCCTAGAGTTCAATCTTCTGAATGAGTCGGCATACATGCCTTTCGCCAAGTGGTTCGACCAAGACCATGTGCTGGCATCCATGTCCAGGGCCTGCCCCCAGATGCAGATACGACAGAGCAAAGATGCGGGCACACCAGAAATGCAAGTCAAGAACGAGTGGCGGATGGACATCGGGTCAGCTCCGGGTTTCCAAATGCTTTCTGGGTACTTCTGGGTCGGGCGGCCTTTTAAGTCCTGGTTCGACGGCGAGCTAGCTGCGATGCGGTTCCTCAGCAGTGTCAGTTCAAACGAAGAATCCGCCGAGGGGGAGAGTACTAGCGAGCTGTCACGGTCGACAAAGGCTGAAGACGGCGCAACTATCGTCCAGATAGCCTCGCAGTTCCTCCTCTTCCACCTCACGGACGACCCAACCGGCCGGGATGTGGCCCTGTGGAACGACCTCACGCACCTGATCCGCTTCACTGAGACCACACGAAGGCTCACGAATAGGATCCTCTCTCATATCGATCGGCCCTACTATGGAGTTCACTTTCGCACGGAGCGCGACAACATCTGGTCGTCCTTCGAAAACCAGCTGAAGGTCGACCTCGACGCGCTCGACCAAGCCTGGGAACGGTATGGGTCGCCGTCGCGGGAGAAGCCGCTGGTGTATCTTGCTTGTGGGGACGAGGGCCAGATTGAGAAGTTCTCGGAGGCTGCCGCGCACCGCGGCTGGATTGTTACGTCCAAATACGACATCGCTAAAGACTATCCCGTCACGTTGAAGATGATCAAAGATATGCCTTTCGACTTTCAAGGCGCAGTGGACATGGGCATCATGCTAGAGAGTCACTTCTTCCTGGGTCTAACAGGGAGTGCTTTTTCGAGCTCTGTCGCGAATATGAGGGATCCAACGGGGAGGTACAGGGGCAGCAGTCTGCTTTACCCTGACGATGGGAATGCTCGCACGCACCTTTTCAATGATGGAGACGCTTCTGGATACCCTTGCTGTTTGTAATTACTGCTAGTTTTTTTTTGTTTTTGGGAACATTTAAAGGTCGCCCAAGCCCAGTTGCCAGGCGTATGATTAATTGAAGATATGTAGGTGCCTAGGTAGTCATTTCAGGGCCGTATTAGAGCTTGGTGAGATCTGAGCCTCCTGTGACTGGAATCACCTGCCATGTTGGTTCATTCTCGATCGAGATCAATGTCATATCGGACACAGTCCCATGAACGGCCCCGAACCCCTAAGCCACGCCCCAGACTGGCTCGGAATGTGCCCAGAAGCTAGGTTATGGTTGTATTCATCCACTACTACTTGCTAGGCACCACCTTGTCCGACAACTTTCAACGGTTGCGCGAGTCCTGTCGCCACTGCGGAGACCAGAACAGCAGGGTTTACTTCAGGCTTTAGATGCTAGAGCGCGGTGGAGAGGCTGTTTTGGAAGACAGACTGTCCGACCGAGATGGAAGATGGATCCACACAAATCCTGAAACAGGATGAGGGCAGATGAGCCAACGGGAATATGGTGTAATACCTCGGCCAGGCGACCAGTGCCCCGATGGCGAAGGACGGAACCAGCCCCAGAAGCTGGACAGCAGCAGGCCAATCCTAGGACAACCTGTGTCTAGTTCATCGACCCCCCAAGCTCCTCTCTCTTCGGTCTGACAGCATGTTTCTGCACCCTGTAGCGGAGTCCGTCCCACAAAGCTCGACTTTGCATCAGGGTAATACGGCTGCACGCCCCACTGGAGAGTACACCTACGTGGTTCCACCTCCAACAGCTCGTTGATTCCAAACCCCCACTTGTTCACGGGCCCCAAACACCCAGTTGTTCGTCCACAAGTTCGTGGTACCACAGCACAGGGCGTGGAACCTTACTGATTCATTCGCACGTGTGAATTACTAATGCTGAGTGTTATTGGATGATCCATGTGTCCCTGTTGATGTGCAGGGCTCACTATCTGAATTCGCAATCGTCCATTCTTGACACGCGGTCATTCGTTGAGAATCGTGCGGAAAAGTCTGCTCATATTGCGTGCTAGCATGGATACGTGCTCAAATTTCGCGGGAATACCCGCCATCGACGCCTCCATCCTCAACGACGAACCATCCGCCGAACGCGAGAAGCTTCTCCAAGTCCTCGTTGCTTCTCTTTCGACGTACGGTGCCATCAGCATTACAGGGCATGGCATTAGCGCTTCCAAAATACAGCGAGCATTCGAATCGGTGAATAGACCTGACCTATAATTCCTGCTGACGTGCATTATTAATACTGGTTGGTAGAGCAAAGAATTCTTCGCTTTCCCAAAGCAACTGAAATCGTCAGCGGCATGTTCGCGGTCCGAGGGAGGCCTATGCCGCGGTTACAGGGCCCTGCAAGCGCACTCAGGAGACGAGACGGCCACAGCCTACGAATATGTAAGTGAGAACAGCCCCGCCGTCAACAATGCTGTCTCTGACTCGTAGCTTATGCTGATTCCCTCGTCTTAGGAATCTTTCTCAGCAGGGCCCTCATATGACAGGCAAGCTCCAACACCCTGGCCAATAGGGGTACGCGGAGATACCTTTAAGATGATGATGGAAGCCTTCGTCCGAGAATGTGCGAGTCTACATTACGATCTACTTCAGATCATCGAGGAGGCATTAGGCCTTTGGGACGAAGACCTGGTGTCCCGTTGGTCTCATAGGAACGGTGAGGTCCGCAGCAAGTGCCGTACTTCCAGCCTCAACGTCCAAGTCGAGGGGCTGATGACTGGACTACCTGAAGGGAAAGGAATTCACCCTATGCTCATGCTGGTATTTCAAGAAACAAAGGGCGGGGAGATCGTCGTCGTATGTGGACCCAGAATCAGGAGGTGGCTCCAGAACCAGCTGCTGTCATCATCTTGCGCAAGGAAGATGCCACAGGCTGAAGAATGCGTATGCGTACGACCTGGGACATACTCGATGGATTTTGTCGGATACGAAGACATGCATAATATCGGTTGATGATGGTGAGCAGGCTCAACATTAGGGCAAAGTGTATATATACATCATCAAACCTATCATTGCTATCGGGTTGTTGCCTAACCTTGTCCATCTCTTAGACCTATCATCAAGCTGTAATGATTTTTCTTGTTGGGACATATAGGCCGAACAACTTGAATGACAAGACAAAGCGTGGCAGCGCATGGTATTCCCAGCAGGAATTGATGGCGCCCACCACGAATTTTCTCTCTGCGCGGAAGGGTCAATACCTAGGTACTCGTCTCTGACTTCACCCAGTTTCGTTTCTATTCTGTATACGTTCGAAGCCATACACGGCGCCTTTATGCCGTAGTAAATGCTCAAGATCTAGCGGTGAAAAAAGCCAACAATGCAGAGAGAATACAAGACGTCTGCGGTCACGTTGCTTTAGCCTTTTGCCGCACAGAACAGGCTGGGACAGCATCGCTCCCGACGGCGCCGTTGACTAGAAAGGCGGCCCGGTCCTCTCAAAACTCAAAATTGGTGCGGAAACCCGCACGTCAACCGATACGGTAGGTGAGCTCTTCAGGGGCGGCAAGACTAAGATCTATCTCGTCCGTGGTCATGACGTGTTCACACGGCCCATCTACTACGAATTCGGAGAGATCAAGACCGCTATTGACGTAGCGCCCGAGGACATGAAGAATTAGTGCAGACGGACACCCAAGGAAATGTTGAGGCCGACCGCCGGGGTCTTAGGGCAAGGCTACTTACTGGGCGAACAACCCAGGCATCTCGCCCATCGCCAGCTCCATATCCGTATTCGGTCTCACAGTTGACGACCAAACCTCCACCGGCGACAAGGCAACCCGCTCTTCACAATCGCAAAAAAGGCCGTTATCGACCACGGTCTCGACGCGTCGGGCGCGTACGCCATCAACGGCGGCCTGCAAACAATACACGTGGGGCTGGATCCGGGGAAACGCAAAGCGGATGACATGGACAAGAAGCTCGAGGCATACGAGTCGCCGCTGTTGGCGAGCGAGAACGTGCAGCTGCGCGGTGAGGAAATGGAGCCTCCGCCTTCTCGGTGACGTCGTTGGTTCGGCTTCGGGCCCAAGGGCGCGCAGGCCATCATCGTAAACCCGTGGTGCCTAGTATACGCCGCCGTCGCCGGGGGGCGGGACAATTTTTATGTTTGATTACAGGACCAAGCAGTTCGGGCGCCCCAGGCTCGCCGCCCGGGAGTCGGACCGGGCTTACTAGACGGCCAGAACATGTTCTGGGCGAGGGAGCAGGAGTATGAGTTCATGCCGAGCCCGTCAGCGACTCATGAGCAGCCCTAGGGTGGCAGGGGCCGTAAACTTTATTTCCAAGCATAAATCTGGGCCTCCCTTGTGGGGCTTGCCGAGAAGACCGTGCGGCTCTGATGAACGTTGTGCACGTTCCCATCCACTTGTGTAACTTTATTGTGCCAGTGGGTTTTTTGCACTCGTTAGCACTACATCAGCAAGGACATCGATTTTCTCTTTATTGAGCCGCATCTTGCGTCACGACTTTTCTACATTTTCTTCTTTCCAAGGAAGAGAAACATTACCCCCATAACGAGAGGTCTCGCAATAACAGCTACCCGGGTACTAGCTGATATAATGTCGTAGGACGGCCATGCCAGCTTTTTGACAAGCGCAGTCCATAGAAAGGAGCTTTACCTAGGTAGCATATAATGTGCGAGTGGCCGGCCGAATGTCTACTTAGGTACGTACGTTCAGGCGAATTTCTTTTAGGGTTTCCGCCAAGCCACAGCACATAGCGAGGTCGCGGAGATTTCATTACTCCGTACAATCTGCGCCTTTGGAACAAAGTCTGCCCGGATGTGAGTGGAACCATTCACTCAGCCTCAAGGTGCAGTTGATCGACCCGAATGCCTCTGTCGTCAAGAGGAGTCAGTGAAGTCAGACTAAAACAAGGACAGAGTGTGAGCATTGTTGTTGATAACATCCAGGACTGTGAATTGTAGCCTCTGCGCAGGGGTTTAGAGCCAGGGACCGGCCAGGCTGAAACCCTGCATGCATACGCCAACCATGCCGTTCCCGAACCGACGATTCGGTCGAACGGTTGAACCCCGAGGGTGCACTCAGCTGCCAAGTTCAAGCGGCTGAACGAAGTTTGTGATTAGCTCGGAGCTACCAGTTGACAACGTTCTATTTAAAGCTGCACTGCCCAGGGTTTTCACGCTTGCATATGTCAGGACTCTCTATACATGAGACAAACAACGAATGTTCCAAGGTTGCACAGGTGTCTACCACTAGCGGTGCATCCGCCTTATGGGCGTTGGCGGCGATGATGTCTACAGACATAAAAATGTCAGTCGTCCCATGAAACGAAAGGAAGTTCGGACAGAAATCAAACTGATCCAGACAGTTCGTCCATTGGCATCGCCAAATATCGTTCCTTTTTTCCATCTTTTCCCACGCGTTTTTACCACCACAGGCTCTTCAGCCTTCCTGTCACTCCTTTTTTATGGTGTCCCAGTAATCTGGGTAACAGCACTCTTTCACCAGCATTATCAACATGTCTCGCTTCAACATCCTGGCATTTTGCATCTCGCTGGGCGCCGCTGTCGTTCAAGCCCAAGATGCCTCGCAACCATGGGTAATAACCCAGAAGACTGTTCAAAATGATCACCCTACTAACATGCGCCCCAGGCCCTCGGTACCAAAGTTAGCATCATGGCAGTCAGCCTGGATAAACCTGCAGACGCCTCAACTGGATGCCCCACAAAGCTCGCAGATGCCCAAGCCACGCCTTGGGACTTCGTACCCATCCAAGCCAACCTGGACTTGGGCATCATTGTCGCCAGTAATCCCAACCCGGAGCGCAAGCTCGTGGAGTCCTTCTACTTGACCAACGGGGTCGCATTCGGAACAACGCCCTTGGCAGAAACAACGACGCGCATAAGGGTCGACGGACAGAATGTCTGCTGGTTCCGCGACGCGAGCAACGGCAACGTACGGCTTGGTCGCTGTGGCCCCAACTTCCCGGACCAGGCCTTCTCCGTGATCATGCCCGCCGAGGGCAAGACGACGACAAGTGGCATCTCCACGACAGATGACGGCGGCAACAGCAACGCAGTCCTGGCTGGGCTCCCGGACAAGAACGAGACACCCATCGTCTTTGGCGGCGGGAGCGAAATGCGCTTTTGCATCTACAACACCGACACGGGCGCCCCACTGACCACGCCAGCCACCAAAGAAGCCGCCTACACGGCTCAGGTCACATACAGCAACCTGACCTCCACCTCGTTCAAGGACGGCGCCCCGAAGTCCGAGAGCGAGGCTCCACAGTGCAACTGGGCAGCCTGGGGCGACGACGGCCCCAACGGTACGGCGGTGAACGTCCAGCAGAGCTCCTCGTCGCCCGACTGCATCCTGGCGCGCACGGCGGCCACCACGCCCTCTCAGTGCGCCGACGACCCGTCGAACGGTGACTGCATCCTGCACGTCGCGCTCGCCTTCTGCGCCGACGTGCCTGAGGTGAAGCAGGGCCTTAAGCCCGACGAGACCGATGCCGCGATCGAGTCCTGCATCCGCAAGGCCGCCATGGGTCCCTGTGTGGCCAACCCAGGTGGTGCTGCGTGCGCGTCCGGCCTGTTCGCCGGCATTGCCTTTGCAGGCGGCGCACCTGGCGGTGGAAGTTCGTCCGCCCGCATGAGGCGCCAGGTCGACCTGAAGAAGCTGTTTTTCGGCGACCCGAACAACCCGGACTCGCAGCTCTCCTTCGAGAGCCAGTTCTTCATGGGCATCGCCAAGAACCTGATCAACTCCGCCGCGTCACTTCTCAACATGATGGCGACCCCTTTCATGGAAGAGCTGCGGGCCAAGTGCGAGGAGGCCTCCATGTGGACGCACCTCTTCAACAACCAGACTGGTGAGAGGGTCCAGGCGGGCTGCGGCAAGATGTTTGCGACGTGGGACAACTTGACTGTCCCCCATTTCGACCCGAGCACGCCGGTTGAGCAGGCTGGAAGTATCTTTGCAGATGTGGCGATGCTGCTCTCTGCCGTTGGTGATATCGCCGAGGCCGCCAAGGCAACCAGCGCTGTTGACTGGGTCATGAGCAAGTTCGGACTCAAGGCCGCCCAGCTGGGCAAGGAGGAAGGCCTTGTGCTGGAGGCTGTGCAGGGCGAGAACACGGTACAGATATTCCGCGACGCCGGCGACGGCAAAGCCGCGCTGATCGAGACCGAGGCCGAGGGTGAAGCTCTGGCGAGGGAAGTTGACCAGTCGGCTTTCCGGAGCTGCGTGGAATGCGTCGAGGCCGGCGGTCTCAAGAAGAGGGACGAGGAGGAGAGTTCCAGCGAGCTCCGCCCACGCGCTCCTCTCAAGAAGAGGTTTTGCTGTGCCCCAGGCCTGACGTTGAAGCTGGATGTTCCGCCCCCGCCGCGGGGCCCTCGGGCTCTCAACGCGCGAACCCTTGGAGCTGTGACCGGCGAGGATACCAACACTGTTCTGACCTCGATGAGCAAGGCATTCAGCACCTGGTACAAGGACGGCAAGGCTGTTCTCGGTGCCGATGCCAGCGTGGACGAGGCAAGCAAGGTCCTGCTCAGCACCACCAAGACCATCACCTCGAAGAACTCGGAGATGATCGGGGCCCTCGAGAAGCTGTACGGCATCGACGCGAAGGAGTCCTACGCGCTGAAGAACTGGTTCGGCGCGAAGCAGGCGTCCCGCATGCTCCCTGGGCTCGAGGAGTCCATGGCCAAGATGCCGTACGCCACCGGCACCGTCATTCGCTCGACCAACCTGGACGCCGAGACGCTCAAGATGCTCGACGAGGGCGCGGCGGGCATCGTCAGCAAGGGCGAGAAGGGCGTCTACGAGGTGCAAGACCTGGTCATCAACAAGGACCCTCTGATCCCCGACGCCCCTGCGGAGCGTAAGATCCTGGCGGCTACTATGGAGCTGGACGACGCGGCGCTCACGTTTAACGCGCGCTATTTTTTCGTCATCAACAGCAAGTCGGGCCGGCTGACGGCGCCCTTCTCGGGCGAGTGGCTGCGCGAGGTGGATTTCGTGCAGGGCAGCTCGGGCAAGTTCAAGCTGATCGGGAAGCAGGAGTTGAACGGCGGGGCGAAGGCTGCTGCTGAAGCTGGTTCTCAGGGCCCGTTTGCTGTGTACTACTTTGACGAGGTCGAGGCTCCTACTGCCTCGGCTAGCTTCACTGCTGATCAGATCACGCAAGCATTGAAGGATGCAAATGTGAAATGGGAGGGTAACCCATAAGGGATTAGATATTAGTTACCACTTGACGCCTGGAATTTATAGCGTAAGGAAGACAGTACATATTTCGATTCTATAACCTAATTGGGACGGTCACTGTACCAAGCCAAACATGGCTCTAACCAGAACAGAGACACCGTGTGCTCGTACGTGTTCGGAACGCTCATTTCACCGACACTGCTTGACAACTCGAAACTTTCTAGCATGGTGATACTGTTTCCCCACATTGAGTAATCACCATTCGATGGCCCTATGTTCGAGTTGGCAATACTCGCACAGGTCATTGGATAGAGTGCGTGGTCTCGTCCCGGAACCTCCACACTCCCTTCAGCCCCGTTAGCCCCCGATGCATAGATAGGGGAAGACACTCGAAACGGTTCGGACTCGGACAATTCGATCGGTTGAGGTTCAGACTAGTCATGGTTGTTAGCAAAATATGCAGGCCACTATTTCAAGAATAATGATAGATACGGTGTTGACTCACAGGCCAAAGGTCACTAAGTCCTGCCATGGAAGACTGTATGCTCGCCCGGGACCCAGGCTGCAGTTGCCAAGTCCCGCTTCTTTCGCTATCCAGAAATATTGCTGAGCGATTGGACTGCGCAGGGGGCATTTCAAGTACGAACGCCGCGCCGCATGTCAATTTGCGCGTTCCAGCAGCTTGAACTTCGGCCAGCGCCAGTGCTTGGTCAGGTTGGTTGAGCTTCCAGGTGATAGTGAAGCTGCTGGAATCAGGAGCAACCTGAGCCGTGGCGCTGGAGCAGCCATCACCAAGCACCCTGAGATGGCTAATCCAACTCGAATTTGGTGGTGCAGACTGCAATTGTACGGCTTCTACAAGAGCCTGCATAAAGAAGACAATCGAAGGGATAAGGAGACCCATTCTGACGAATACTGTGCTATGCCAGTGGGTTTCACGTGAGTACGTGGGAAAGTTGGACTGAATTGACTGATGGGGAGACGGATCTATGATTTTGTACCTCTTCCCAGTACTAGTAGCATCAACCTCATCAGATTGATAATACGAAGCGTGAAAATTTCAGCAACGAGATCGAGTGTGACGTTGCCTCAACAATATATCTACGTGACACAACATCGAATCATTCAAGATGCTTTACGGATATTGACTTCCTTTCTTCTTCCGGTCTATCCGAAATCTTGACTCTTGGCATAAAAAACAGTTTGGAAATGTCAAAATGTGAAGGATTTGTGTAATTGTACCACCTCGCTGAAGCCATCAGTGGGCAAAGTGTTTAAAGACTCGGAGGAACGACCCGAGCCCCGCAAGACATGCATTAGCACCCATCGAGTAACACACCTTGCCGTACACACCCGGGCCGTAAGCAGACGGCGATTGCAGATGCAGCCTATTTATGCGAAACGGAGACTTTCCTACCGCCAGCTCGATCCAGTAATCGCGATTCGCGCGGTTGTCTTGCGTGTATATGTTGGTTCGGGTTCAAATGTTTGATCCAACCGTTTCCCATTTGTAGTTCAACCCAAGGGAAAAGCAGACTGGTTTACTTATATGAGCAGACAAATCCCAGTTGGTCATGAAAATAGCCATGCATTTGTCTTTAGTTCTGCACATATGATAGTATAATTCTCGATTCTCCGTTCCCGACCGAAAATGATTGTCAAAGCACGACTTCAAGCAGTTCTTATATTCCTTCCGTTCGCCACTGCTCATTGTACGTCAGTAATGCCATCATAGGCCAGATCTAAATTTACTAACATCCAACGAAAAGATCATTATCCCATCTTTGTCAAAAATGGGGTGCTCTCAAAAGTGTGGGAGTTTGTGAGGTACTGCATGTTGAAACACCAAGAACTACGGTGCCGTACTGACACAGAATTAGGAGACCTGCAGTATGGCCTGACAACCGGATCGATGATCCATCCTATATCCTCGGGCCTTTATTTGACCCCTGGTCAACAAATATTCGATGCGGAGAACAAGCTCTTAAGCCAGCACCCGAGACCCAAACCGCGAAGGTTACCGCCGGTGACGAGATTGGTTTCCATCTAGTAAGCTGTACCCTGGGGCAGAATACTGGGCACCAAAATACTCACCCTTATAGTTTCCCGGGAAAACCGTATATCATCCAGGTCCGAGCACCATCTCGATGTCGAAGGCACCCGGGAACGTCTCGGACTATGATGGTAGTGGAGATTGGGTCAAGGTTCACGAATGGGGCGTCTCTATAAATCCTGACGCCAAAAGTAACTATGATCGTGTGCTCTGGCACAGCATGAATCAGGATCAGGTAAATTTCCTGCGCCTGTTTTGAATTTTACAAAACCTTTCGGCCTGTATTTCGGTTCGACTTAGCATCATCTCACATGGAATACTCCGCAGTTCACATTCAAGTTACCCACAACAACGCCGCCGGGTCAATATCTGTTACGCATCGAGAGCGCCCAGGCCACCGCCTCGTTCAACAGCACCCAGAGATTTGTGCAATGCGCTCAGATCGATGTCGAAGGACCGGGAGGAGGTAAGTGTCTATTACTTGGGTTATACGGATGATATGCAGTCAACTTATATCACCAAGGCAACCCGCAGCCAACGATGAAGATCCCAAGCCCGGAGATGATGTTTGACAGAGGTACGAAATTGACCAAGTATCTAACGAACTAGAGACGGTATTGACATAACATCACAGGACAATGGGTCAGCAGTAATCTTTATTTCCCTGAGAGGGCCAGTGATGAAGATATTCTATCCTTCAAGCCACCTTATGGGGCTGCGTGGACAGGCTGAGTCGACATGGGACCTCCACCTTGTACCTTTAACCATCTAGGTATTTCCATAGATAGTCAGCAAGGATTATTTTATGCGTACCCTTACAATCTCCCGGAACTCCAATGGCCTCTTCTCCATTTCTACTCGTAGTAGTGCCGGACCCACCAGCGTATTGGACCTGTTTTAGCAGCAAAATTTGATATATTTCTGTTGTCGGGCGCGGACCAGTTGGCCTTCATCCCCACCCCACGGTTTGAGCTGTCTCCAGTCTTTTAGATCACGCTTTACGTCCGCAATACACGTGGTGGAGGGACAGATTCTCCAACGACCATCGGAAACACTAGTGCAATATAGTACCCATCGTATTACTGTGGTCTGTACAGATGTGCCGTTACAGTCGCTTGTGATGGTGGGGCTGCCCCGAAATATTCCAAGGTTATGGAGGAACTACCGGCATTAAAGAGGGGACGTCGCCACAAAACATCAAATATCAACCCCGGTTTTCGCCAGGCTGCCAGATTGAACAGAAAATAAAGACTGGCCTCCGTAGAAGCAGGTCCGTCCAGTAGAGCTCCTTTTCAAAGACAGATTCTCCAGGTTAGTAACACACGTCAGTGCATACCAACAACATGGTCGACACTCTCTCCCTCGAAGGCAAGGTGGCCATCATCACGGGCTCGGGCCGCGAAACTGGAATTGGCGCGGCCACGGCGATAGCTCTCGCCCGAAATGGAGCGTCAGTAACTCTCAACTACGTATCAGATGCCACAGCCCCGAGGGCAGAGAATGTTTTGAAGACTATTCGCGAGGCTGGCGGCAAGGCCATCGCAGTCCGAGCAGACGTGACCAAGCCGGAGGAGGCCCAGAAGCTTGTGGATAAGACGCTCGAGGGCTTTAATACCGACACGATCGACATCCTGAGTGAGTAGGACATCCAGGCTCACGAGACGAGTCTCGGTCGACAGGGAGAGACCCTGCACGACAACACTTCCCCACAGTGTACAGCATAAAACTGACTCGTGTTACCCAAAACAAAGTCAACAACGCGGGTGCGGTGTACGGCGGCCCGAAACTGATGGAGGTTACACCGGAGGAGATCGATGCCACCTTCGCGACTTCGGTCCGTGGGCCGATCTTGCTGATGCAGGCCACCGTTCCGCACATGCCCCGTTTCGGCCGCATCATCAACGTCTCCTCCGTGGCGTCACGGCCCATCACCCTTGAGGGTGTGGCCCTCTATGGCGGAGGCAAGGCAGCTATGGATCAAATCACCTTTGCGGTGGCGGCTGAGGTACGTGCTGCACGCCTTTGCATACCTAGGTAGCCTGTTGGGAACCTGCTGACATTAACATGCAGCTCGGCAAGCATGGGAAGAATATCACAGTGAATACCGTTGCACCAGGGATCACTACTACAGACATCCTGTCACCCGAAGCTATGGATGCTTTCGACAAGGCGTTGACGCCAATGGCCAAGGTTGAGGACCGTCCTGGCCACCCTAATGACATTGCTGATACCATCTTGCTGCTGGTCCAAGAAAAGAGTAGGTGGATAACAGGCCAGGTAAGAGTTATGGACCGCTTCTCTTCACACTCGATTGTAACTACTAGTGCTTGTGCTGACCGGGAATGAACAGTACATTTCGTGCAGCGGTGGAATTACTGGCAACTGATTGCTTGTTGCCAGTGTGTAAATTTGAGCAGGAACATGCACTTATCGAATGCAAATAACAGCATATTGTTACCTAGGCAATCTGAAGAGATAGAGAAGCAGAGTTTAAAAATAGCAACCTCGACTCGGATATCATGGTATTAGATGCAAACACAACAGCGCAAGCGACTGTACCCACCAAACGTGTGCTCAACTGAAACCACTCGATGCTCAAAAAGACACGCGACAATCAAGCCACGTCCTTCATCTTCTTCGCCTTCTCCGCCTTGGGCTCAACACGATCCGCAATGCCAGGGAAGATAGCCGAGGCCATGACTGCGTCCGAAACCTTGGCGACCTGCACGGCAACCTTGGCCTTCCAGCCCGTCTGGTTCGACTTGCCGCGGAACCGCAGGTGCAGCACCGTCTCAGCGGCAGAGGCGGTGCTGGCCGCCGAGCTCTCGGTGCCGGCGGGCGCGCCGGCCGGGGTCTCGAGGAGCAGCGCCCAGGTGAAGTTGACGCCGGCGCGCTGGCCCTTGTAGACGAGGGCCCGGTCGCTCTCGATCATGGCGACCTCGATGCTGTGGCCCTCGGCCGACTCCTTCTTTCCCAGGCCGTAGTCGGGCACGGTGTCGCCGACCTTGAGGGTCTGCCACTTGGGCACGATGGTCGGCGTGCTGCGGAACTTCTCGGGCAGGATCTTCTCGACCTTGGCGGGGAGGTACCAGCCGCCGCGGTCCTTGCCCCACTGGACCAGCCATGGCCATATGTCCTCTGGTGGAGCGTTGACTGTGGGCGTGTTAGAGATTTGTTTCTTGTGTTCCCGCTGATCAAGACCTTAAGTGCAACATAGAATTTCCAGGCACGGTAACTTGATGAATCCGCTGCAACACCGTGCAACTCATGTTGTTTTTCAAGCAAATGTACTCACTCGTGCGCTTCTGATCGTAGACCATTTCTGCATCGGGAATCAAGTTGTCGCCTAGGTACGAGGCAGCAGGTGTCGCCGGCTTTGCCTGCTGCTGGGATGTCTCTTGGGGTGCCGTTCCAGCTTGCGCATGGTTGGCTTCCACAGGTTGTTGAGTTTGTACTTCAGCCATGGTTGATCGTATGCTGTGGCTTCGCAACGGGACGAATCGAGCTGGACAACTGACGTTTGTGTTCAATGTGATCCAAAATACAAAAGGGAGATGGGCAAGCAATTCATTCACTTTTAAACGGCTTCGAGCGACATCATAACATTTTTAAGATTGCGCGTTCCGGTGAAATCATATGCCAGCGCAGTACGAACGCGGAGGGATATACCCAAATTGCAGTTCATGTGTTGGCTGTCAACCGAACACGTCATGTTCTTGGGAGTTGTTGTCCAACGGGTTCCCTGCCATTCAGATCATGCAAATTCAGGGAGCCTCGTTGTTGAGGCTAGGGCCCGGCATGATTTCAGGGATCACGAAGTCTGGATAAGACTAGTTCACGTGGACTGACACGGGACTAGACAAGATTCAACGGCGCAATTTCTTCCCCAAGATATGCGATTCCGCCGATCCCAAAGCACAAAGCCGATTACTGATAGGCTCTTCGGAACCCGGTTAGAAATAAAGTTAAGACCGTAAACGGTGTAGAATTATGTGCGCCAGTATTATGACGCGTTGCTTCTCCCCCTTGCATATCAGCCTCATTCCGTGGACCTTGGCGGGCTCTCCTTTTCTTCAACTCCTTTCACCGAAGCAGCACAGGCTTTGTGAGCTCCCGAATCAACACGTCATTCGCTACCCAGGTGATACACGCTAGTTCTTTCTGGATGTTGCCCATGGAAAAAGAGCCCTCTCAAATCTAGGCCGTGTCTCAACGGGTGGCAGTGTAGAGAACTCTGTGTTGTTGTTTTTGAGCACGCTGTTGTTTTCAGGCACGTCGATGCTTTGAAGCACCAAATCCCTCCTCAGCGCCGCGCCGGGCTTCTTGGACGCATGTGTCGGCCTACCTCGCCTCCTGCCCGGATCGTCGGTGGCTGAGTTGATCATACCCCCGCCAATCGAGCGCAGTGCTATCGCGTCTGCCCCCTTCTGGGCTCCGTAACCCGAACCTTTTGTAGTTTCCGCGGTAGTGAAGGGGCCTTCTATGCGGTCGGCCACTCGATATAGCCAGTCTTTGTACAGCGGCCGGCAGACAGTGATCCCGATGCAGAGTAGCTGAGTGGTGTGGTCTGCAGCATGCCAGATCAGGCCCTCGACAATCATCACTACCATTCGAGCGAACATGTCAGTGGGATACACCATGGATGCCTCGGAAGACTCACCTAGGAAAACCGAATCATCGGTTTCTTGCGCCGTTCTTAGTGCATGCATCAAGCGCGCTATGCTGCATGCAGCGGAGCTATCAAAACAAATGTTTGTCAGTGCCATAGCTTCAATGTAGCAAGGCCAACTGGCTGTATTACACAGAAAAAGGTGGCTAGATGAATAAGATGTTTCCAGGAATACGCACAGGTATCCGACACTCATGCTCGTTCCTATCAGAATCTTCTCTCGCTTGGGCATCTGCAGTCCTTTTATGAGATACCACGGGTACGAGGCGTACCAGAGCTCGACGAGCACAACGGACACACCGGGGATTATTGAAGCCCAAAATTGTTTGACAAGGTCGCAACGACCCCCTGGTATCGAAACATCCCATATGTAATTCATGGGCGTGCAGGAGAACCACAGCACCCACGCGCATATGAAGACAATCAAAGACATGGCAGTCACGGGTACGATGATCGCGTACTGCTTAGCGGTGAAGGTACCGACGATACGCAGCAGGAAACATGCTATCGAGATCTTGACCGCGATGACGGCGACGAAGATGATCGTCTGACCCACGTTGACGAGTAGCAAGGCCCGGGTCATTTGATGGGGGGTGATTTCGTTGATAGGCTGGCCCAGGCCGTAACGTGTTGCGATGGAGATGAGTATGACATATACTAGGAGGCAGAACTGCAAGCATCAAAGCAAATTAGTCGCTGTTCTAGAGGTTTATGTAGGGCCAAAAGGTGTCAATGCACCAAAGCCTGGAATGGATACCAAGAACATGACTGTGAGGAGCTGAAGGATCGAAGATAAATTTTCTTACCACTGATAGGTTGAAGAAGTGATCGTCCATTCCGTAATTATGTATCACAACGAGACGGGTGTAAAGGCGGAGGCCGACAAGAATGAATGCGATGAGTTGGAACGTCCACACGACTCCCAGCATTAATGGAGCCTGTCCACGGACTGCTGTGAACTCCTCCATCCTATAAAAACGTTTCTGACAATACTTGTATCTTCTTGGGTTGGGTTTCGGCGTCTTGACCGAGCTTGGGTATGAACATGCGAAGCTGCATGTGCAGCGTTGCGTATTGTTGCAGGCGGGCAGTTGTGACAATTACTAGGCGCAACAAAAGAATGATTCTGGGTAGATACCTTCGTATTTAATATTCAGGTAAACGAATTCGCGCAGTGTTGGGTCTGCGGGTTTGGACTCACACAGGCCCCATGTAGATTCAGAGTCACTCCGCTCGGGCCGGACACAGCTACGCAGTTCCGATTGATACTTGTGGCAGAGGTAAAATAAGCATATAATTATAGGTCTGAAATCAAATGAATGTCCAGAAATTATTCGATGGGTGAGGTATGGTGAGAGTGGTCAAAGAAACATTCCTCGGACACTGGATCCGGAGGTCCTATTCAGGACGAAAAGAGGAATAGCCTCGTACACCAAACGGGCAATGGCTCAACGTCGACTCGGCCTCGACGGGGCGGACTGCATGCTTTCAGTGACGCTTGTACACGTAATGAATCAAGTTCCAAGTCCATAATCGTTCATTGTCGTCGCAGTCGGTAGCTAAGCTCAGCGTAAAGTGTGACGGTAGGTATCTGATATGTGAAAGCGCCGTGCGACTCGCCAAGGTCGGTATGGCATCTTCTTGGTGGTCCAGCACACAGACTCGGTTCGTCTGCACTTGAACTCATAAGCACTAGCGCTCTAGGCCTTTCGAACGTACAGATCCATACTAAATGCACGTCTCACACGTTGGGCCGGACTTTTGCACCAATGCCCCAGTCTACTAGGTGGGTGTGTGTTGGATTGCAGGCGTTGATTCCAGCACACCATCGGTGCATTCTCGACTTGCTAACATATGATGTAATGCCAAAGTGCTTGTCATACGTCGCGTCGACCGCCGTCGTTCCGAGGAAGAAGGACAAGCGCTTTCCATCCATCTCCGTCTCCCCTTCCAAACGCTGGTTCTTAGGCGTTTACCACTGTAAGATGGCGCCAAATACATTATGTATCCATGGGGATCAGAAAGGAACCCCCAGGGGCTCCCCATCATTCTTCTTGGCGAGCAGGCCGTCCGCCTCTCCGCTATCATCCTCGTCTTTGTCCAGAGGTCATCGCCGACACTCCTTGACCACTACTGAGGGAGCGGTATACCACAGCATCTTGTCGTAGGCCTGATGACTTGCCCTGCCGCAGACTTCGGACGTATACGGAAGAGGAACCAAAACCGATAAGTATAGCTGGACATGCCTAGGTACATGAGCTTTTCCTATGGGATCTGTGGTAGAGTAATCAAGGATACCGCTGAGTCTGAGTTGTGAACCGAGGAACATAAAGTTGAAACTTGATTGCAGGGCTCGAAACATCCATTGATTATGCACCGCGGCTGGACAATACGCGCGATATACAATTTTGCGGTTGAGTGACAAGGAGTGGCCGAGGTCCCCCACTGAAAATGTATTGTCTGACTGGCCGCCCAGATGGGGGTCAACTCTTCTTGGCTTACACACTCATGTCTTACAAGTCATGGTATCTAGGTAGAGTTTCCTTCACTGCTGCTTTTCCTGCGTACATACTACTAGTAGTAGTCACGCCGCAGCGAAGACTTTTGACGAGTTCTAGCCCATGGGTCGAAGCAGCAGAGATATCACGGATTACAGCGGTCCTTGCATGGGCAGTCTTTGCATATGTGTAAGTAGAGTACTTTTATGTTCACCTGTCCTAGACATATAGTGTGTGCGGTAAAGCAAAGCGTCTGATCGAGCCACCAGGGCACAAGTATCCATGTTGTTAAAGAAAAAGAACAGTGTGCACTGGAGTCTACAGACTCCCAAAACCAGCCTGCCCAGCACTCTGGCTCGCGCCATAACCAGCCGCTACACCGCCACCTATGACACCTGCGGCGAAACCACCCATGGCGGCCCCTTTTCCCACCTTGGCCGCTGTACTGCTGCCAGGAGACTTGACGGGCTGATCAAGCACACTGTCGTGGTCAAAAAAGGAGATAGGCTCCCCGGCACTGTTGGTCGTCCTAGGAGGCGGGCCAAGTTCTGTCTTTGGGCTTCCACCGAACTTGGGCAGCGAGAACTTAGGGAAAGGGGCTGCCTGAGCACCCTGTGATGCAAGGCTCCAGGCCATGAAGGCGAGTATGAGATGAGTACCAAACGATTTGAGCATGGTTGCGATATTAGACAGGTAATGAGTGGACTAATATAATGGTAAGAATTGAAACAAAAGGCAAAACTTAATATTGAATTGACATTCGAGTCGAAGACAGGGGCAGTAAATACAGAAAAAAGACTTTTAATCTAGGTGAGTTGATCAGAATCCTTTGTTCTTTTGTGCGGTGATTTCCATCAGAGGTCTTGGACATCATGCTGTGAATATATACCTCGCAGCCAGTCTTGATTTCCAAGATCAAAGGACGGCATCTCGCTGTGCCGCTTCAGTCCTGTCAAAGAGTGCCGCCTTATCCTATTATCGACCCGCTGAACCGTACCTCGATTGGTACCGTACAATGGAGGGCCTGGCTCATCCCAGCATTGCCGAGGCTAGCCACTTCGTGTCTCAGGGGCTGATGCGTCCCACGCCACGTCTGGGGAATAGACCCGAGAGAAGGCTACGGAGCAGATGCAAAACATCTGAATGAAATGTGGCATCTATACCAGTGACGTACATAGGTACAAGCTTTTCTGACGTATTGTTGTTGCCGGACATGCCAGGTTCTGCCGTACAGGGAGCATATCAGTTAAGCCAGGCCATGTGTCCGCAGCAATTTTTCCCTGCTACAACAGCTATGGACTGTTCGAATACGCGTATCGGCCCAGACGGCATATGGAAATCACTTGCATTACTATGTGGATGAAAGTTTAGACATTTCGGCCGAAAACAGAAAACCGGAGATGGATGTCACGGCCCACTTGAACAGTCCCTTTACGAAGGCGAGCCCCGTCAACCCGCCGAGGTTCCGAAACCGAATGGGCCTAGATGCTGGTACAGTAGGCCCTTGGCACTGCTCAACGAAGGCCCTAGGGTTGCACTGGACAATCTCTTGGCGACGGACATCTACCCCCCGAGCGGGTATGTAGATTGATGCACCCCTCCAATTGGAGGCATTAGTGTGTACGTATGGCATAGAGAGCCGCTCGAATGAAAGGGATTGGTGGTGACTCCACTATTGGTCAAGATACCTATAAAGCAAGGGACAATGGGCCAGCGGCTGGGTTTCGGCAGGTGCTGCCATATCGTGTTTACATAGGCCCGATCATATAGACAATGCATGCGAGTAGTCTATTTTTGTTCTTGGCGGGTTTCTTGCTCACCACCGGCTCGTCCGCCTCGGTACCGAAGGACAGCCGGGCCGAGACGTTCCAGAACCCCGTCCTGTATGAGGACTATCCCGACAACGATGTCTCTGTAGGGCCGGATGGAGCATTCTACTTCTCAGCCTCCAACTTCCACTACAGCCCCGGCGCCCCGATCTTGCGGTCGTTGGACCTCGTGAATTGGGAGCCTGTCGGCCATTCGATCCCTCGCCTGACCTTTGGCGATGGCTACGAACTCCCGCCTGGCGGTCCGAGGGCCTACCGGGGAGGAACCTGGGCATCGAGCCTGAGGTACCGCGAGAGCAATGAATTGTGGTACTGGGTCGGGTGCGTCAACTTCTGGGTCACCTGGGTCTTCACCGCCAAGTCCGTTGATGGACCATGGACAAACAGCGCCAACTTTGGAAATGAATTCTGTATGTATGACAACGGCCTGCTCATCGACGACGACGATACGATGTACGTTGTCTACGGCAGTGGACAAGTCAATGTTTCGCAGCTCAGCACGGATGGCCTGAGCGTGGTGAAGTCCCAGAACGTTCTCCAGGCCTCGGATGTACCCACAGATTCGCTGGAAGGCAACAGGATGTACAAGATCAATGGCACATACTACATCCTCAACGACGAATACGGAACAACCTATATCTGGAAGTCAAGCAGTCCGTGGGGGCCCTACGAGTACAAGATCCTCGTACAGGACGTCGCCACACCCGTCCCGGGCGGCAGCTCCCCCCACCAGGGCAGTCTTGTCCAAACAGCCGATGGAAACTGGTACTACATGTCGTTCACCTGGGCATACCCGGCAGGCCGCATGCCAGTCCTGGCCCCCGTGACGTGGGGCGCCGACGGCTACCCCGAGCTGGTCAAGGGCTCCAACGGCGGCTGGGGCGCGAGCTACCCTTCACCCCTACCCCCTCAGCCCCTCTACAACTGGACGCGGACCTACAACTTCGAGGGGCCCGGGCTGCCGCCGACGTGGGAGTGGAACCACAACCCGGACGCGGCGAGCTACGAGGTCAGCAGCGGCGTGACGCTGCGCACCGCGAGCGTCACGGGGGACATCTACTCGGCGCGCAACACGCTGACGCACCGCATCCACGGGGAGTTCCCCACGGGGACGGTCGAGATCGACTTTAGCGGCGCCGCGGACGGCGACAGGTTCGGGCTCGCTGCGTTCCGCGACCAGACGGCCTACGTCGGGATCCACCGCGACGGCGGCGCGTATACCCTCAAGGCCGTGCAGAACATCACCATGGACGAGTGGTCCGGCACGACCACCGGCGCCGGGCAGGAGGTCGCCTCCGCGCCTGTGCCCGAGGGCGCCACGAGGGTGTGGTTCCGGGCGGAGCTTGACGCCCGGGCTTCGGGGACGAGGGCTGCCAACTTCTTGTACAGCTTTGATGGTGTCGATTTTGTGGGGCTTGGGCCGACGTATGAGCTGTATTCTGGCTGGGCCTTCTTCATCGCGTACCGGTTCGGTATTTTCAACTATGCTACCAAGGACCTGGGAGGTTCGATCAAGGTCGAGTCTTTCACAGCTGCGTAGTTGGAACGGTGTTATTTCCATTCATGACCATCAAATTTCTGCGACTGAGGTGTATGTAGAAGTCAGCACTGCTTCAAAAATAAAAGAAATTCTGGCAAACATTTTATGGCCCACCCATACTGGTGAGAGATACTTCATGTGGGATTAGCAGGCTGTTTTCGCAGGCTGTAGAAGTGATGCCAAGCACAATTGTTGACGATTTGGTGGTTTCAAGTGGATCTTTGAAAACAGTTTAGATCCTCCATGCAGTATCAGACTAGCCAGATGTGATGGTACAAAGCTAATTGGGCGTAAAGTGGATGTAATCATCGTTATATTTTCCAAATTCTTCTATTCAATGGCTGCAATCCTTGTAGCACTGGACCCACAAATACTCATAAGGAGACGACTGCGCAACACTGCAATCTGGCTCTGCTCTTTGCGCTCTGTTTAAACGAATCAGTCTCCAACCTATACCTCTGAAGTCATAGAAGATACCGTGGGAAAGCATTTGAAGTCCTTCAATATCTCGGCCCGTATGGAGGCATTGAAGATGTTTCGGAATTCTTTGGCCCTCCTGCATTCATTGTCTTGTCAAAACTGAAACACACTCAACCTACCAGAGAGCACGAGCTCAATCGAGGAGCAGACAGGTCCATGTCTTGAATGCAAGTAAACAATGAGCCAATTGCTTCATGGCGGGCCCCGTCTCGTTTGTTGGCGATATGAGATACAGAGGCCGCACCTTTTCCCTTTGAACTATCACAATTACCCCGTTTCACCTGTGGACTGCGTAGTACAATGTTATTATCCAACATTCTGAGAAGCAATGGTTGAAGTAGGATCTGGCATGTTGCAAAAGTGGGATATAAAAACTGGCATCATGGCTCTGATCGGGAACCAAATTCAAGGCCAACTGTGATCAACCCCTCAACAAGCCAAAGCCAACCTTGGAACTCAAATCAGCAACTCAAACTACTGGCTTCACACCAGCTACACAGCACAGAGTTAACTCGGTCAACCACAAAGACACACACACACACACACACACGAAGACAGCGGACAGACCCAAAAAACTTGAACCAATGGCTGGATTTCTATTCTGGGAAACAGTCAAAACCATCGAGCTCCTTATCATGCTCTATCTCGCCATCTCCCTGCTCCGCTGGGCCTACGACGACTTCTACAAATACCTAGCCGTCGGCCGAGGCGGCAGCCCGTCCACCTTCCAGGGCTGGTGCCACGCCAAGATCCTCGGCTTCATCGCATACGGCGTCTTCCAGGCCGACGTCCTCGGCGCGCCTTACCTGGACCCGATGTACGAGCCCTACCGCGGCAAGCTGTTCGCCCTCCCGCACCGCGGGTTCTGCGGCGGCCGCCCCACCATCGTCGGCCTCGTGCCCCAGCGCCAGGCGAACCAGTGGGCCAGCCGCGAGACCGAGGCGGCGATCCTCGCCCTCCTGGAGCGCCGGGCCGCGGGGGACCCGGGCGCGCTGGTGGTGGGGCAGAGCTTCTTCGAGGGCCACGTGCGCGCCCTGAGGCGGCGGCTGTCCGCGTCGGCGGTCCCGGGGGCCCCCGGCACGGCGGCCGAGTGGGGCGGCGAGATCGCGCACGCGCACCACGAGGGGTCCGCCCACGTCGTCCTGCACCCGGCCGACGCCGCCGAGCTCATCCGCGCCGGCTGGGGCGAGCGCCACCCGCTCGCGTGCTGTGCCGACCACTGGCTGTGGAGGGCCTACCACCACTGCTGGAGGGGCACCCGCCTCCCGCTGCCGCCCACGTTTGTGCTCGTCTACGCGCCCCGCGACGGGGCCGAGATGGCCGTGTTTGAGCGCATCGTCGACGCTGCCATCTGGTTCCACACTGGCACGCTCTAACTGCCCGAGGGCGGCGGGGACGCCGAACCTGCTACCAACGCCAAACCCGCTGATAACGCACTCTCGGGTCTGTCATATTTCTGGAGTTCCTGGCTCGTCAGTGCTGAAGATGAAGACATTGATGGGTGAACTGTATGTGAGATATCTCGAAAATGGACCTGCTGAATAATTAGAACCTAATCATCAAACATCATTGGACAAGACCGAGACCTGTTAGATAGTTTATCCATATCTCAATGACGAGATAGACTGTTCATAAAAAACGTTGCCTCTCATTTCTCATACGATGTCGGTGGCAACATCCAAGTCGGGGCGTCTTAAACCTTTTGTAGCAAAAACCTAAAATCCTCCCCGTGTGCCTGGCTAACCCGCTCCCGCCTAGCCGGGCTGGGCATTCGATTTGTATTTGCAATTGCTGCAACGGGAGAGGCAAGGGGGGTCAGGCGTGTGGCTCGTGTGTGACAGATCACTGATCATCCACTCCGTACTCCGTACTCCGTACTAAGGCATGCATGTTGTGGCCCATGGCCGTGCTTGCCGTGAAACACGAAGTGTGCACACTTGCATGTGGCGTGTTGGAGTCGAGTCGGAGCCGAGCACTTGAGTGGAGGCAAAAAAGGCTGCAGTCGATTATATTACACAAGTGGAATGATTGGCAGGTCGCGCAGGATGCCTGGCGTGCTGGCAGGCTGGCAAGGCGCGCCGAGCCTCACCCCGGCTGGGCAGGCAGGAGCCAATGAGGGCGTTGGACCTTATCACCTTCCGATTATGGCGGGCTTATTAAATGGGGCAGTGGGGCGGGCTGGACCTGGGGTGGACCGGGGTGGCAGGTGGACTGGGCCGAATGGCAGGTCTGGGTGGAGATGGGACCAACTGGGCAGGCCTGGGGAAGGAAATCAGTTACCAACCGCATGGTCCAGGTGAGAACCTTGGTCAGACTGTGGTTCGGTGGTGCATAGTGTACATCCTATGCAGCCTGTGGTACCTAGGTACAACGGCTAGTGTGGTCGGGTCCACCGAGGGAAAGTGCAGGACAAGCACCTGGTTGGAGGGCTGCCCTGGCTGCGAGGCCAGAACTGCAGTCGGCTGAAGTGCAGAGGCCTTGGCGGGAAGCCTTGGCGGGAGTGCCTGGCCCAACTCGAACAGGCAGGTCAGCCAGTCCCTGCCCGTCCCCGAGCCAATCCTTGAGGATGCAGCTCGTGGGTGCTAGGCCCCTTCTGGCGCCAACGATCCCACCCACTCTTACACCTGCCCCGCCTGATCTAGCAACCGAACTGCAGTGGATGCATGTGGACCCTTGCAGGCCTGCACCTGCCTGCACTCGCCGTCCAAGCAGCTCCAGAGCCAAGCTAGAGCCAGCCCACCCACCACGCGACCAGCCGAGGGAGAGCAGAGCAGAGCAAACTAGAGCAGAACGTTGGACGGGGCAGGTTACGCATAAAGTAATAAAAGACCTGCGTGCCTCCGTCCACCTCTCCTGCATGTGAGGATCCGAGTTGTCTTGCACGTCTTGTCCCTCCCTTCCCCTTCATCTGAGGTCTTTCGTTGCCTCAGCTTGTGGTCTGCACCCACACAAAAAAAGAAACACCATCAGTCTGCCTCTCTGTCAGTCACGATGGCGTCTCTCCAGCACCAGGACGTCACGACGGCCCCCGTCACCGCCGCGGCAGATGCCAGGACCGACGAGCAGCTGCCCGACATGCCCTCCGAGAAGAGGCCCCACTCGCGCGGCGAGAAGGACATGTTTGTCGACATTGACGGCGAGAAGGACCCCGTCGACGAGGAAGAGACTGAGATCCTCGACAACATGTTCCCCTTCCCCCCTCTCAAGGGCATCCCCGAGGAGGAGCAGCAGCTCACCATCCGCGCCCTCGTCGTCGGCGTCTGCCTGGGTGCCGTCGTCTCGGCCTCCAACATCTACCTTGGTCTCAAGACCGGCTGGACATTCGGTGCCTCTCTGTTTGGTGGCATTCTTGGCTTTGCTATTCTCAAGTCTATCTCCCGGGTCGCCCCCAAGATCCTGGGTGGTGGCTACTTTGGCCCCAAGGTTCGTGGTTTTGACTCGCTCACACTCCACTCACTCACCTTCACCTTGGCATCATCTCTCGCTGGCCGATCAACCGACAGACTGACTGACTGACTGACTGGGCATTATAGGAAAACGTCTGCGTTCAGACTGCTGCCACCGCCGCTGGCGGTCTAGGAATCATCTTTGTCGGTCCTATCCCCGCTCTGTATCAGATGGGTCTCATGTCAAAGGATCCTTCCCAGGGTAAGGCACTACTTCACACTTGGCCCGTAATTGGACCAAGATAACGAGGCTAACCTTTTGCCCAGACTTTGGCAAGCTTGTCACCTTCTCAATCTGCACCGCCTACTACGGCCTGTTCTTCGCCATCGCCCTCCGCAAGTTCTACATCCTGAAGCTCAAGCTGATCTTCCCCTCCCCCACCGCCGTCGCCTACACCCTCCGCGCCCTGCACGCAGGTGGTGCCGCCAGCGAGGCCAGCGGGAAGAAGAAGGCAAAATGCCTCGCCATGGCCTTTGGCGGCGCTGCCGCCCTGCGTGTCGTCTCCATCTACGCCCCCGGCATCCTCTGGGACCACCACGTCTTCTGGTGGCTGTACACCTGGGGCTGGGACGGCATCATCTACGCTGAGTCCTGGGGCTGGGTCTTCGAGTACACCCCGGCCTTCATCGGCGCCGGTGTGCTCTCTGGTATGAACGCCTCTCTCTCCTTCTTCGGCGGAAGTGTCCTCGCCTGGGCCCTCATCGGCCCCCTGACCTTCAAGTACGGCGCCACCTTCGGAATCGAGAAGGCCTTGGACCCCGACACCGGCGAGAACCCCTTCCCCGGCTGGTACAGCTTCAACTCGCTGTCCAACACCGAGACCGAGCCCTCCCCTCGGTACTGGAACCTGTGGGTTGGCATCATGGTCATGCTGTGCGCCTCCTTCGCCGAGGTCGCCATGAACGGCCCCATCCTCTACCGTGGTCTCAAGAGGGCCATCTTCGAGGCCGCCGAGAAGATCCCAAAGACCCGTGGCTTTGCCGCCAAGCACCTCACCGCCGAGGACCGCGAGATCGAGGACCCCTCGCCAAAGTCGGAGCTGGTCCCCACCTACATCTGGTCCGTCGGTGTGCTCGCCTCCATTGCCCTCTCCATGATCGTGCTGGCCCTCCAGTACCAGGTCAGCCCTGCCCTGACCATCCTGGCTGTCATCCTTGCCTTCATCTTCAGCTTCATCGCCGCCCAGTCCTCCGGTGCTACCGACATCAACCCCGTCTCCACCTGCGCAAAGAGCTCCCAGCTTGTCTTTGGCGGTGTCACCCAGGGCCAGGGCCACCACGGCGTCGACGCACAGCGCATCAACATGACCGGAGGTATTGTCGCTGCCGGCGCCGCCGCCCAGTCCGTGGACATGTTGGGAGACCTGCGAACCGGTTACCTGCTCAGCGCCTCGCCCCGCGTGCAGTTCGTTGCCCAGGCGGTCGGCTCTGTGTTCAGTATCGTCCTCTGCTGTGGATTCTTCGTCCTCTTCTCCAAGGCCTACCCTTGCATCATTGACGAGTCGCTCGCAGACTCTTGCCAGGTAGGCACTACCAGCCATTTATTACAAACTAGAACAAATATACTAACATCCATCCCCTGCAGTTCGGTATTCCCTCCGTCGCCGCCTGGAAGGCAACCGCCGAGGCCGTCACGGCCAAGAACTTCCCCGTGCCGACCTCGTCCGGCATCACCGCCCTTTGCCTGGGCATCTTCTCCATCGCGCTGGTGGCGGCCAAGTACCTCTGGATCCCCAAGAAGTACCACGTCTACGTGCCCAACATGAACGCCGTCGGCCTGGCCTTCACCCTGCCCCAGACCCAGTACTCGACCGCCATGGCCACCGGCGCCATCGCCTCGTACTTCTGGATGAAGAAGAGCCCCCGCACCTGGGACGACTACGCCTACAGCCTGGCTGCCGGTCTCAGCGCCGGCGAGGGTATCGGCGGTGTCATCAACGCCGTCCTGCAGGTTGCCGGTGTTGCTGGTGATGTCAAGGGTAGCGCGGTGGCGTGCCCTGGCTTTGAGTACTGCGGTTAGACAAGATAGTGGAAGGGATAGACAGATCTCTATTTTTTTTCTCTATCTCTTCTCTTTCTGTCGTTTTTGTGTTGGCTGTGATTGGATTGTGACTTGGAATGTTAATACCCCCTCCGTATGTAATGTGACATGAGCGTTACGTATATGTCGGTCGACTGGGTCGGCTGGATGTGAAGATGCAATATATTAATTCTGCTCTACTACGGGACTCGTGTGCTGCTTGGTGTTGAATGTGTCCTTTTTCATTACCTAGGTACAGAACGTGCATTCTACGATTGGTTTCAGTAGCTACAGCAGGTGAATCTGGCCGTGGATGCTTTTGATACTGTGCGTGACCTGCCCACCATGAGCCATGTTCCCGATGAGCGGGCGGATGGCGAGCTGGAGTGATGATGGGTGTTGGAGCCACCGGATGGGGAACATGGTCGAGTCGAGCGCTTGCAACCTCGATATGGCCCCACCCCCTCTCCCACAAGTCAGCAGACCAACCAGCCAACAAGTGGCGAGGCAGATACCTAGATACAGAGGTACTAGGGAGTAAGTAGGCAAGGAACAAAAAAGACAGCGAGGAGGGGTGGGTGCCTGTCAACCTGCCAGGCCAGGCCAGGCCTGCGATGGGAAGGCTTCCAGAACACGAAAAAGAAAGGGCCGGCCGCCGCCCGCCCTTCCTTCCCTTCCAGAAGGCAAGCGCGCCTTGGGCTAGGGCTGGGCAGGCTAGGCTGCTGGGTGGGTGTTCTAGCCGCCTTCTACGGCCAGACGGCCCCGCCCGATGTCACGCACACCGGGCCCGGTGGGATGCCTTAGCCTGCCTGCCAAGCCTGCATGCATGTGGGAGGTGGGTGTGGGAGTGGTGTGTGGGTGTGTGGTGTGGGTGGGAACCCCGCTCGCGATGGGGGCTGGATGGGATTCACGGGTGGGTATGTGAGGGTTCCGGAGCTGGTTAGGTTGGTTGCTTATTTTTTGGGGGGGTGTGGTCTTTGTGCGGCGCAGGCAGGCAGGCTGGCTGGCTGGCAGCCTTGTCAGCTTCCTCCCGACGTGTGACCGATAGATTGATTGATTGCTTGATTGATTGATTGATAGATAGATAGCGAGATGTGAGTCAGCATTGGCAGCCTGGTGGGCGGAAGGGTGGATGGGCAGTTCGAGTTTTGGTGGCGTGTCCGCGGTGTGGCGTGGCTCGGGGGGCCGGGCGACCCGGGCGGGCGAACTGGTGGGTTGGCAATTGGCAGGTTGGGCTGGGTTTGTTACTTGTGTGTGGCGACGTTGATCGCGGTCGAGGCTCACCCGTTGACCTGACTACGCCTCTGTCAGGATACAAGATAGGAAGATAGGATAGCAATGAAAGAAAGAGAAACCGCTGCACACCACCACTCAGCCGTCCTTTGCCGCCAAACTCCGACTCCGACCCCTTGCTTGATGAAGACCCTATGGGGTTCCTGCCCAGGTTGACCAAGATGGCGGCTCCCACCCAAGACATGTCACCAGAGCTCTTGACCTGCTTGGCTGGGGTGTGGTTGTGGTGTGGTGTGGCGCTTGTTTTGTGCTGTGCCGCAGGCGCTACTCCCTAGGTACTCTGTAGACTCACTGGAAGCCAAGACAGCCTCGTTTTGCTAGTTCGTGTTTCCCTTGGCATGGAACCTTTTTCGTATTACATCCAGCCGGCCGGGGTTGCGATTGGGTTGGCTGGCCGGCTGGCTTTGTAATTGTGAATCACTGATGAGTGCGTCGTAGCATCTCTGGCGGCACAGCAACTAACTAGTGAAATCCTTCCTTGGTGTCACGATATCTGCGACATTCCCAATTGGCTAGGTATCAACGTCAGCCGTTGGACACGCTGTGGTAACCGGGGCTAGCTAGCTGGCTGGCTGGTCTGGAAGGAATCCTCTTTGGCTTTTTGCTGACTGTAGTACACTACGGAGTATGGTGAGCACCCAGATGTCAGAGTCAATACGACGTTGATCTGGTGGGGCACCACCTGGGCAAAGGCTTACTTGTGCTCATAAGCGTATCTGTCATGCTACGGGGCGGTCCTCGGATCTGGGCCGAGGGTGGGTAGAATAAGTCTTATCGTCGTACCTACCCCGTATTACAGGTCTTATCTTGCTGATCAATGTTTCCACGCTTACAATCCATGAAACCAAGGTACGTACTCCCAAGTACTGGACCTCTGGTTTTCATGTGACAATGCCCCACTTGGTACTTTGTTCCACCTAATCGGGTTGGGTGGTTGCATTTGAAATCCTGAAGACCTAACCTTGTTCAAATAAAATAGAGTAAAGTGAAACATAAGGGACAGTGCCGATAATAGTAATAAATGTACGGTAGGTGCACATGGCTTCAGCCTTGTGAGGTAGACACAAGGCTGGCCAGCGCCGCTCTCGACGGCGCCGTTGGTTGTTAGCACAAGTCGCCTAAGGGCTATTATATTCATAACAATTATATTTTCAACAGTTTCATTCATTTCCTAGTATTACTAAGTTACGGAGCAACCCAAGCTTAACAGAAACTGCTATGAGTGTCTGTCTGGGGGCTCAGTGGTCTAAGCCTGTGGCCCTCTATGGATCCGACAGTGTGAGACGGACTACGCACTGCTGGCAACTACTATAAGACCACTAGATCAAAAGACATATAATTCATAATTAGCTTGTAGTCCACCCTGGAGCTACATAGGTATAAGCCCGCACTGTCGCAAATTTCACCTTCACAGCCGTAGTCATCGTAGTTGTTGCGTCGATCAGGCAGAGAGCTGATGAACTCCTATGCATTTGGAGATCGACAGGTTTCAGTGATATCCGCCTCGGGAATGCTCCGGGGGGATTCCAATGGAATTCACATTGAGATGCTGCATTTGATGGGACCTGGATAGAGGACCAGCCCTTGTTGCACAAGCGCGATATACATCCTTCCGGAAGAGCTTCGGGTCCATTTTGACAACACAATGGTCAATCTTGAAGGGGCCGTCGGTGGAATCATAGGCTGGTTTGAGCATTACGGTCGTGGTGCTTTAATTGCAGCATGATGAGTCCACGAAAGGTATCACCTGTGCCTGTTTGGTGTGTTGGAATACTTCCAGTTCGAATTCTATCTCGAGGCCGTGGCGGGCGCACCAATACCTAGGTACATTCACGCGCTTCAACACCCGGGTCTGTAGTCTCATTGGGAACGAGAACCTGAAAATTTCATCCATAGAAATTGCCCAGTAGCTGCTCGGGCCAGTGTCCCGATTTGTATCGTTTCCCTGAATCGACGGCTGGAGCTCCGAAAGCCAGAGAGAATGATCGGGCGCGTTAAAAGCCTCTTCGATACTTTTGAATGAAGTCAGTACATATATTTGGGAAGCATTGAGACTTTAAAGACTACTATATGAGCCAAGCGACATGGAATACTTTTGGATGGAAGACAATACGCGGGGAAGGTTCAAATGATACCTAGGTATGAAAAACTTGCCCTCGTTCAAGTCGCCAAACGACGATCAGCCGACATCCGTGCCTGTTAAGAGACACTACCAGCAAAACAATATGTCAGGCATTTGGTGAGACTGGCCAGAAGCCCAACGCTAGAAATTAATACTCCACGCCCTGGGTGAAAGCAAAGGGCGCTATCCACAGCAGTACGGTTCTGCGAACGATGGAGTAGCACAGTCCAGTTCATGTGTGTACTTGAACAAAACAATGTTTTCGATTGACAGAGAAGGGACATTGAGAATTGCGTGACCAATTCTATTTCAATGGATGCGCTGGTTGTGAAGAACTTCGTAATTTTCTGATATATGGCAGACTTTATTCCCGAGTGGATATAGCAGCAGCGTTTTTTTCCCTTGGGGGGCCTTGGGCTACACAGACGACAACGACTCTAAGTCTCGAGCCAAATTACAGGGCTAGAGTTCTTGTAGGTAAACTACGCGAGCCGTGAAGTTCATCACGGAACTCTCAAGACGCAGTTCCTCATGGCGAAGTCGATTATGACCATCACCAACTTCTCAAACACTAAACTCACCATACCCATTCTGACGCCAGAGGCCAGGGCGCATGGCGTCACAGCGGACTGGATGAAATAGTTTTTTTTGTCGACGTGTTTCAATACAAATATTTCCTTTCGAATATCTCTAATTAGCTACTACCATATAAGTACTCTCGGCCCGGAGCTTTCGAATGGTTTACTAAGGTCATTGACTCGGCACCAGCAGCATCTTGGTGGATGGCCCGTGACATATGGTGAGACTTTGTTCACGAGGATATATTGGTGGAATACTGGGAGGATTAAGTCTTCATCAGAAAATGCAGACGGCAGAGAGAGGTCGTGAGTCTGACCTCAAAGTGATCGGAAAGTACCCTACCTAGGTAGCAAAACTCGTTCCGTTTGAGAAGAAGGGTTTGGAGGACTAGGGGAGCCTGCACCTGTCGAAGAAACTTTTCCGGCCGATTTGCCTTACTGAGGAAGAATGACCTCCGTGTTCGCTGTCTGTCCGCGTCCAACAGCGGATCCCCGGGCTTGTCTGCGTTTGAATCGATCTCGTTACGGAGAATCGCTGGCACAGCGGAGGTTCGGCGCATCGAGCGTCCCCCGATCCTCCGCCCAAGCCTGGTGTGTTCGTACTGCGGATGAACGGTGTCGTTCTTGAACCATAGACACCGTGAGTCGTTCACGTGAAATAATGCACCCGACGGCAATTTCTGAGTTTGCTTGCAGGCGAATTTGCGAATTTCCGAAGACCTTGTCTGTTGCAGTCTGCGCACTGAATTCACTCCACCACTCCTTGTTGTGATTCTTTCTTTGACGTGCTTCTGCAGGTCCTCGTATGTCGCACCACGGACACCATAGGGCAATAGAGGTGACTCTATTTGTGACCAAGCATGGCAGAGGAGTATATGGGGCCAATGGACTCCAGGCATACGCAACCTCAGGCTAAACATCACAAACTTCCTATTAGTCCAATAACTGCTCTTTTGTTTGCTTGTTTGCTTGTTTGCTTCAAAGACTTAGGGAGAGGTTTGGAGAAGACATCTTCACTTTATGAGGCGCAAAATACGCTTTATATGTATGAGGATTAGAAACAAGCCCCTCTCATTCCCGTGTTGCCATACGAGACCCATCGTGAGCGTCAACATTCCACAGAGAACAGGCATCCTTTTCGAGGCTACCAGGGGGCCGGCGGATGGGTTGTGGATGCGGTCTGATATCGGTCTCCCAAAGTCGACAACTTGAAGCGCTGAGTGGTTGGCTAAGGCTGCCAGTCACTACGAAGAGGCCGACGTGATATGTGACGACTGTCTACTACATCGGCTACACCGTGTGACCGACAGCCTCTGTTCCAATGTTTTCCTCAACATGACTCAATGTTTATAAACTATGAGTTCCTCGCATACACTGCGATCATGCTGCAGTTGAGCATGAGATATGCCTGAAATGCATTGGGAAACAGGCTGTTGTATGTCAACAATGAGATGTTTCGTACTAACTTTGAGTAACTTCCGGTGCTAGTTCTGAGAACAAATTACTTTTGCATGCCCCCCCTCCCATCTCCGTTCCACAAACTGCATATATAGCAGTTCGTCCATCTTGTGACGTGCCTTTACATATGTTTGCTGTACCAGCGCCGGGTGCTAACCTCGACGGCCTACGTAGACCTCCAGTATTCATGCTGGCCATGGAAGGCAACAAATTCTACTCAAACCGAGACTGACTCACCATCAACCTGGAGAGCAACAGGCCGAAACATCATGAACAGTTACAGCACGACCAACCTAACCTAGCGCCCCATGCACCTCTACAAGAACAACTTCTGGGTCGTGGCTGAGGGGCTTGGCGATTGTGACGGCAGCGTCAACATTGAATCTCGAAAACCCAATGAGACGTGATGCGCACATCCTCCAACCGGGCGTCAAGGGCGTCAACGTCAGGTTCCTGGCGATCGACTTTGTCTCGGACAACTCAGGGGTTTGGCTACCTCACTGTGACCTACCTTGACACGTCGAGCCCAGCCTGACATTGTGCAGATCGACGTGCCGTCTGATGTCTATCAGACGTGCAAGGACTGGACGGGATATCAGGGAACCTGCCTAGGTACTGAACCTGTTCCTGGGATTGATCTCGACGTATGACGGACTTGGATGACGGACTTGGATCAGTGGTGCCCGGGAGGGTACGATGTCTGCAAGGATTTTGTACATACAAGTTTATAAAAACAAAAATGCATGCTTCAAATGCGAGGAATTTCTTCGAATAAATTTGTTTCAATTTTTGTCAGTTTGCTATACTTTCTCTGGGGTCCTCATTTTGCAGCTCCACCCCATGGGCAGTGGTTTAGGATATCTTGGTACGCCCGGGCGGCCCCACTCCGATGTCTCCCCGGCGATCGGCGTGGAATGACGTTGGGCCGACGGGTACGCAGGCCCGGCCAAGTGCATCATGATTTGCTTAAATCAACGACTAACCCGTCACCAGACTAGGACCATCACTTTTCTTTAACCTCCGACCAAATTTGAGTGGACGAGTGGACGCTGGCTCGGGGCGTGATGCCGAAAGCAACATGGGCACATCAAAAAAGCTTTTCATCACCTTGATCCGCACGCACCACGTCACGAGCCGCAAGAAGCTACAGCGCGTGAAAAAGGCAGCTGCGCACTTCGACATACCCTTCGTGCTGGTCCGCTACGGCGGCACTCCAGGCCTGATGTACGCCGAGAGCGACCAGGCACCAAACTTGGGCGCCTGGGTGAGCGCTGTGAAGGATCTGCGGTACAAGGATTTCCAGTGCGTCTATAAGCCTGAGATGAGGGCTCTGAACCAGGACGGCCCGGCTGCTGCGACGATGCCTGTGACTGCTGGGGCGTTTAATGAGATCGAGTCTGTTTCTTCGTTTGGGCAGGTCATGGAGAGTAAGGGACTGGGCGAGTGGTTCAAGACTGGCCTGCTGAGCAAGCGGGCTGGACAATTTGACGGGGATGAGTGATGCGCCGGGCCGAATGTCCTCAGGCCCTGGACGATCATCTGTCATCTTCGCGATGGATTACGAACCACTTGAAGCCATTTCGCCATACCCAGGTCTGAAGTACTCACAAGTCACTCATATCAAGATCACGACGGGCGCGCAGACGGACACAAACAGGGAACGATGCTACTTCTTGCCGTAGCGTTTACTGTGACGATCGCCGCCTCTTCTCGGCCTGAGCCTATCCGCTTCACCGCATTAAAGCATGCCTAATTACATCGTTAGGACAGACCTGAATCGGACCTTCCCACTCGTCATGTGCTCGAAGGCCTCCTGGACCTTTTCCAGCGGGAACTTCTCAATCATGCACTTGACCCCATGCGTCCCAGCAAACGCGATGGCCTCCTCACAGTCAAGCGCGTGCCCAGACGGCCACCCGTGCACACTCGCCGCCTTGGTGACCATCATAGCCGTGTCGAACTCCACCGGCCCGACCGGCGCCAGCACGATCAGCTTGCCCTGCGGCGCGAGCCCGCCCACGAGGGGGCTGATGGCCTTGGGGTTCGGCGCGGTGGAGCAGATCATGGCCGCGCCGCCGAGCTTCATGAGCGCCTTGGCCGGGTCCTCCTTGCTGGTGTCGACGTAGTGGTGCGCGCCGAGCTTGGTCGCGAACTCCTTCTTCTCGCTGCCGCTGCTGAGCGCCACCACCTCGTACCCCATCCTGCTCGCGTACTGCACGGCCAGGTGGCCCAGCCCGCCCAGCCCCTGCACCGCGACGATGTCGCCCTGCATCACGCCCATGCGGCGCATCGAGTTGAACGTGGTGACGCCCGCGCAGAGCAGGGGCGCCGCCTCGGCCGGGTCCAGGTCCTTGGGGATGCGGACGGCGGCCTCGGCCCGCAGGAGCACGTACTCGGCGTACCCGCCGTCCATGGTCACGCCGTTGATCTCCTCGTTGTCGCACATCTGGAACATGCCGCGCTGGCAGGACCGGCAGGTCCCATCGTGGCCTGTGGATCTTGGCGTCAGCGACAATGCTTACAAGAGTCTTGGATGCCCCCACTGCCAGTGGACGCTTATGGAAGCAGGGTGAGATGCGGAACCCTCGGGATTGCCATTGGGCTTGGAGGATGTGAGAACTGACCGCCGTGCCACGTCCCACCAACTCTCTCGCCCTCCTTGATGCGGGTGACGCCCTCTCCAACAGCGACGATATCACCGATCACCTCATGACCGGGGATACGAGGGAACGAGTTCCCCAGAAAGCCTTGTCTCATGAAGTCATCGGTGTGGCAAACGCCACAGGCCAGTGACTTGATGAGGACTTGGCCGGGGCCGGGAAGCTTGAGATCGATGTCCTTCAGGGTCAGTCCATCCCCCTTGTCATTGATGACCGCGGCTTTGAAAGTCTTTGGGAGTGATGGGGCCATCTTCTTCTGCGCGGCGATCACTCGAGGTAACTGAAGCGATCTGGATGAGATAAAAAGGTGTTGGTTATTGTTTCGATTTGGTTGTCACCTTCGCAAAGCTTAAGCTGAAAGAATGTTTTTACTGTTGGGCTTTCTGGTTATCATCTGGTAGTCTGCGATCAACGCTCTATTTATGTCCTTTCACGGAAAATTCAGATCTAACCCATAGGCGACATCAAGTCCGGACTTAATAAGCGTCATGCTCCTATCTGAGGGGTACTACGTTGTGTAATGAGCGGTGGGGTGTAAATGATTAGTGATATGGATCACAGTTTTGCCGGTCGATGGGGTGTTGTGCATCCATAGCAAAGGGAATATAGAGACGCCAACCAATCAATGACGACACGGACGTGTGCAGGCGATGAGCCGCCCGCCTGCAAGCCACCTAGGCACTTTTCGCCAGGCAGCTAGACCCGCTGGTTAGACCACAGCAGCCTACCTGAAGGCCGGAGTGGGCAAAGCTTCACACCTGGGCAGCGCTAATAAGGCAGGTTCCAAACACCCCTTGACTACAATGGGCCTCAAAAAGTCTCCCCATACTCGACCTCAGCACACTTACCCCCATCACCACCCACAACCTTTACTTCCACATAACTCTATGTAGAAATTTTTTTACAACAATTAGGTAATATAGTTTTATTCATTTTTAAATACTCTTTAAAACTATATATAGCTTCCACCTACAGCCTTATATATATACAGCCTAGTTAGTATATTATTAATTAGTATATTAATCTTAACCTACTTAATTACCTACTATATATTTTTTATATATTATATAAAATAAACAATATTTACCTTATTTCTAATCCTCTCCTATATATCTAAGTATATTCTATATATCTTTAACTTTAAAAGTACTTAAATATACTCAATAAGTATTAAATTAAATAAGTATATAAGCCATTAAAGGAGAGAGATCCTATAATCCAATATCCACTAATCCACTTACTAAACAATATAAATTTAAGTATTATCTTACTAAAAATCCTATATACTATTATAATTAAGTAATAAGGTCTCTTTAAGTACCTTAATATAAAAGTTCTAAATATACCCTCTTTTTATAACCTTATTATCCCACTCCATCACTATAAGGTCAATCTACCCACCTTTTTATATATACCCTTATATTATTATAGTAATTAGTAGCTTTTTATAAGGCTTTAAGTTAATTAAATCTAGTCTATACCTCTCTATAAAAAGCCTTTAAACCTACTTTAAAGGTCTTATAAGTAAGTTATATATAATATACTTATTAGAGAACATTACCTATTAAAGGTTATATAGTTAATAGTAGATTAATATAAGGGTATATTTATATATAAACTTAAAACTATAAACTCTTAATAACTAATTAATATCTTAAAGTTATTTAATTAACTATATATAGTAGTCCTTTTTATCTTCCTTTAAAAAAAGTATTTACTTTATAGTTTACTAATAGTTAATATAAAACTACTTTATATATTAGAAGAGTATATTATTATATATTAAAATATTCAATACTTTATAGATCTTACTATAAGTTACTTTAAGGTTCTTCTATATAAAAATTTTAATTAATAAATTCTCTATTTATTAAAATTATAAATCTCCTTATCTAAGATAAGAATTTCAGGTTATAGGTAGTTTTCTAGTACTTTTACTAGGTATTAATTATTATTTTATTAATATACACCTTAACTGCAATATATAACCTAAATTAATTAAAGTCTTATATAATTAATATTATAGCTCTCTAAACCTTACTTAGAGTTGTGATTGTATTTTGTATTTTATATTTTATATTTATATAAAATATAAAATATGTATTTGTATTTGTATTTTATATTTTATATTTTAGTATATTTATATTTATATTTATATTTTAATATTTTATATATTTTATATTTTATATTTTATATTTTTACATTCTATATTTTGTATTTTATATTTTAAAATATAAAATATATTTTAAATTATAACTTTAATTAATATAAGTTTTAATTATTTAATTATATAAATTTAAATATTTTTAATAAATATTAAAATTTAAATTTATAATTAAATATTAATTAAAATTCCTTTATTTATAAAAGAAATATTTTTATAAATTTTAAATATTTTAATTAAAATTATAAGTTATAATTTATAACTTATAATTAATATTATATATTAAATAAAACTTTATTTAATATTTAAATAATAAATAATAAATATTTTAAATATAATTAAAATTAATTAAATAAATATTAAACTTAAATAAATAAATATAAAATAATTATATAAATATAAATTATATAATTTAATTATTAATTTTAATTTTTAAAGTTATAAAATATAAATTATATAATATTAATATATAATTAAAAAATTAATATATTTTAATTTTAATTTTATTAATATATATTATTTAAAAAACTATATAATAAAAAACTTTTAACTTTTAAAACTTAGTAAGTTTTAATTTATATTAAAAAAAAATAAAATATTATACTTTAATTAGGATTTAAACTTAGGTCTCTTTAGTGATAATATGTGTGGTATGTGTTGCTAGAAGAAGATGGTTAAAGGGTAATAACTAGGATTTGAATTAGGGCGTTAAACCGTTGAGTTATTAAGGCTTAAAGTTAATTACTATTAAATTAGAGTAACTATATAATAAAAGTACTATTAGAAGTAAAGAATATAGTAATTTATAAGCTATTTATTATAAATTTTATTAATACTTTTAATTTTAATTCTTTTTTTTCTTTTTTATTATTTATTATAATATTCAATATATTATATATATTATATATATAATATATTTTATAAAACTAATAATTAATTATAATTAATTATTTAATTATTTATTTTATTTTATATTATTATATAATTAACTTTTATTTAATTTTTATTTAATTTTTATTTAACTTTTATTTAACTTTTATTTATTTTAAATATTATAAATTATAATATTTATATTTAATAATATTTAATATATATTTTTAATTTTTATTTATATTTTTATATTTTAATTATAAATATTTTTAAAATATAAATTAAAATATATAAATATAAACTTTTATAATATATATTATATAATAATTTTTAAAAATTAATATATATATATATATATATATATATATATAATATAAATATAATTATAATTATTATTAATATTATTATTTTTATATATAAATAAATTTATTATAGTTTTAATATAACTCTAATTACTATTTTCTTCTTTTAATTCTATCTTTAATATATTCTTATTGAATTCTACTTTTAAATCTAAATACTTTTAATTTTTAATAGTTTTTATCTTTTAATATATTTTATTATACTTAATTTCTTTCTAATATTATTTTTATAAATTTATATATCTATTAGTTATAATATTTATATTAATATTAAAATTCCTTTTATTATTATTAATATTATTAAAATATTTAAATATTTAAATATTAATATTAATAAATTTAAATAAAAGTTTTATTAATTTCTATTATTTTAAAATATTAAGTTATTAATAAAATAAATTAATATTATATATAATATAAAGTTAATAATTATTATAAAATAACTTATATTATATAGTTTTTAAGTTTTTAAAATACTTAATAACTTTACTTTTAAATTGTAATTTATATTTATATTTTTATAGTATTTAATATAAAAATTAAGCTTAATATAAACTTTTCTTTTAATTTTTAGTTTTATTTTTTTAAATAAAATAATAGGTTAAGTTAAGTTTATAAATATATTTGTTTTAAGGGTTATATTTATATTAGGTAATATTTTAACCTTTTTCCTTTTTTTTATTTTATTTATTATTTTTATAAATTTTAAATTTATTAATTAGTTTATTATATAAAAACTTATATAGTTAGTTTAATATAATATATATTTATTACTTTAATTTTTCTACTATTAATTTTTATATATAATTTATAAATTTTTAATTTATATTTAATATTTTATATATATATTTAATTATTTTAAGGATCTAATAGTATAGTAAATATATATATTTTATATTATTAAATTAATATATTATTTTAAGTAAAGTTATTTGGAAAATAATTATTTAATTTATTTAATTTTATATTAATAGTTTTTAAAATAAGGTGAATAAAAGTGTAAAATTTAAATAAATTATAGTTAATATATATTATTTATATTAATTAAGAGTAAATATACTTATATTATTCTTAGACTTTCTATTTTTTATTTTTATATAATTCTTTTAAATTTAATAAAACTTTATATATATATTTAATAAGAGGTAATATTAAACTTAAAGTAGTGTATTTTCTTTTAGAAAATAATAATAGGCTTGTAAAAGCTAATAATATATTTTTAAATTTTTAATTTAATTTTACTTTTTTATAAATATTTAATTTTTATAGAATATTATGATTAAAGTCTTTAAGTAGTTAATTAATAGGGTTTTTAAAGTTTAATGCTATATTTATTATTTTATATAATAAATTTTAATAGGTATTAATATTAATAAAATTTAAATTATTAATATATTTTAAAATTAATATTAAATAAAGGGTTAATTTATACTTAATGGAATTAAAGTTTAATTTTATTAATAGAGAGATCCCTTTAATTTATATTTTTAATATTTTTAATTATTACTTTTAATTTATTTATTTTATTTAATTACTATTACTACTTATTATATTTTATTAAATAGATTTATATAAAGTTAATATATAATTTAAAATAAATAATATTAATTAAAATAAATACTTAATAATTTATTAAAATCTTATTTTTTTACTTTTAGAAATTTGTTTTATTTATTTAATTTTATATAAAATAGTAAATAATTTAATATTTTATAATTCTTTACTATTAATTATACTTTTATTAAAAATTAATTATAATTTTAGTAATTAAATTTAATATATATATTATATATTATATATTATTATTAAAGTTTATAGTGTTTTTAAGATAATATTCTACTTTAAACTTATTAAGAAAAGTATTATTATTAGATTTATTATTTTATATAATACTATTATATAATTAATATATATTTATATATATATATATATTAAATAGATTATTTTATATAAATAAATTATATTTAAGTAATAAAAGTAATTTATATTTATTAATAGAAGTAGTTAGTATATTTAAAGGAATTAAGATATTATTTTTAAATATTTTATATATATATACTCTATTATAAGCCTTATTTAAAATTTAAATCCTATTATAATATTAATATTAATATTAAATTATAAATATATATATATATATAATAT